CAAAAGGGTCACAGAAACACTAAAAAAAACCCCAAAAAACGGTGCATTTACCCCAGGCTGCTGTTAAAGGTGCCACAAAGCCCATGGAAATTTGGTAATCTATTTGCATCTGATTAACCACAATGCTACCTACTGTCATTTGAGCATGAGCTGTGCATCTATTTACAAGAGGTCTTTATCACAACAGTATCAGGAGTGGTCGTTATTTTAAACTGAATGAACAATGAGCAAACTGACCATAAGTCATTTCTCTCAGTTGCACTGAATCTCCTGCTCTAGGGACAGCTGGCTTTCTGTTCGGAGAGAAGAAGATGAAAAGTGACACCGTAATTCCAAACCAAGCTTGAATCCACCTGAGTAAAGGATTCTAGAAGAATGCAGGAGGAGAACCTGGTGACACTTCAGTTTGCGGCCTGGCCTGGCGTGGCTCTCGGGACAGACCGGAAGGAGAAGGAGAGGCAGAAAGGGAACAAGGATCCCTAGGAGGTGTGGGGTGGGGGTGAGTACTGGAGATAGTTGGAGAGGGGTGTCTCCACACAAACTTGGTCACTATGTTTAATAGGTCCGAAGTTTTTCCAGCTCTGACTTCTAGAGCATGGACACATGTGACTTCAGGACAACATTGAAATATTGTATTTCTTTATTTGAGAGAAAGAGATCGTGAGCATGAGTATGCAAGAGTAGGGGGAGGGGCAGAGACAGAGGGAGAAGCAGACTCCTTGCTGAGCAGGAAGACCTACTCGGGGCCAGGACCCCAGGAACACAACCTGAGCTGAAGGCACACACCTAACGAACTGAGACACCCGAGCATCCTGAAAAATATGTATTATTATTTTTTTAAAGATTTTTATTTATTTATTTGACAGACTGAGATCACAAGTAGGCAGAGAGGCAGGCAGAGAGAGAGGAGGAAGCAGGCTCCCTGCTGAGCGGAGAGCCCCGATGCAGGGTCAATCCCAGGACCCTGGGATCATGACCTGAGCTGAAGGCTTTAACCCACTGAGCCACACAGGTGCCCCCAAAATATGTATTATTAAACGACCAGAGAGAAGACCTGCCAGTTGCCTCCCAGACAGCAACCGACTTGAGCTCTTCAGGCAGAAAGAAGTCCTTCTGCGGATTCCCCTGTGCTGATTATAAGCTGCAATCTTTCAGGAGCTCACAGACCCAGATAGATCTGCAAGTGGATGGGCAGCAAGGATTTTTCATTCTCACATTTTTTCTTAGCCACTTTATTCAAAGCAGTTAGTCCCCAGCCATAATATATGCACCTCCCAGGCAGGTCCGAAATCCTTCCTGCAGATGGTGGGACAGTTGTTAAAAGGTGAATAACTTGTCTGTGCTTAATCTGCCCCATGTTCATATAAACTTTGAATCACCAAGTGTGAGAGGAGGAGTGTGTATTAGAGATGAGAAGGTGAAGACCATCAGTTTAAATTCATCAGTTCAGTTAACCTGACAGATAGTTTCCTGTACAAAACACAAACAGATTGCGTCCCACTCACAAGGTTCTACAGCCTGTCAAGGACCAGAGTGCATCAGCTGGGTAATGCCAGTTGCTGTCACAATGGCACCCAACCCTGTGAGAGTTACACACTGAAAACTCCTTTCTTCCTCCCGTGAATCCAAAATGGGTGTTTCCATCGTGGATTATCCTGAACAAGATTCAGTTGTTGCCTCTGGAAGCCCAGCCTTGTCAGACTTCCGATTGCAGCTGTACTGATTACACATTTTGGCAGGATTCTGTCTTGGACATGGTTAGTGCCTTTTGCTCAATCTCTCTCTCACAAAGTGTCAAAGATCATTTGTTGGCAAGCTTGCCTGGCCCTGCAAACATGTTTACTGTCCTGCCCCACAGGCACCTGAAGGCTCACACTCTTGCCCCCTGAGGGGGCCTGCAGTGATGACGTCAAGCTGATGGGCTCCCATGGAAAACAGAGAGCAGCAGCTTAGGAGTGGAGTCCTAGGGGGACAACCTCCAGTCAGTTCTCAGAAGGACTGTGGACTGAGGCTCAGAGATGGATTCCCAAGACAGTAAAGGAAAAGTCACACCCCCTATAGACCTCACAAACCTAGTGGGAAGCCTGGACTTAGTTGGGCTCTTTGGGGACAGGAGACAATATGGGCCTTCTCCCATAATTTGTTGAGCCTGGTGTTCAAACTGACCAGAAAATCAGCCCAATCTTCCTGGGGACCTGGGTAGCAGGTATGCAAGAGGCAGCCCCATGGGCCACCTGCCCGGGGCCTGTAAGCCCCAAGGACCTGGTGGAATCCAGTGATCTGACAGAGGGAAGTGTGCTGAGTGGAGCCTCTGGCAGTTGAGAGGCACCTGTGCCCAGAGTCAACCTGTGGGCTCCTCCTTCCTGCACACATGGCTCCCTGCTGTGCAGCACTTGACACGCTGCTGCTGGCCTACTGCTGGACCCTTACGGAGAGCTAGTGGCTGAGGGACGACTGCCAGACATCACTGTGTCCAGGTGTCCCCTTCCTGCATTGGGCCCCTCAGATCCTGGGAAAGTGAACATTTTTTATTTCTCATAAAAACTGGAAATGGAACATCTTGGAATAGCAAGTCAGGTCCCAGAGACTGGTGCTCACCACTCAAGAAGGTGGTGCCCCATGTTTAGGGACCCATCGTATCTCTCTTGATGACTCACCTGGGAGCATTTGGCTCCCTGGAGATGGCTCCCAGGAAGGTCTGAGGATGCCAGGGTCTGGTTTCCTGAAGGCTCATCTAGGTAGAGGCTGATGGAGTCCCCTGGGGGCAGCAGCCCTGCAGTGCTAGTGACAACTCTGGTAGAAAATGAGGGGCTAAATTCAAAGACACTTACCTTATTTTAGATAATACTCTTAAGGGTCAGGCGTGCCTTTATCATCTGTCCTCGGCCCTGGCCAGCAACCTAACTGGTGGTGAACAATGACATGTGAATTAAAGACAGCCATGGAGCTTTCTGATGAAACATTTCCCATACCTGATGAGGGTGCCCACGGGGAGGTGCAGGCTGAGATGAGCCCAACTAACAATGGGGCTGTTCAGGCCTGAATGGTGGGCTGTGCTGTTACCTGGGCAGAGGAATCCCGCTACTAACTGGATGGGTGCCAAGGATCAGCCTCATTGGCAAGACAAGGGGATCAAAATGGCCTATCAGGACTATCGTACCTGTTGGCAGTTGAACTGATTTTCTTTCCTTTTATTCTTTTTTTTTTTTAATGTTTATTGGCCATTTGTTGAATGTTTGTGATATTCCTCCTGATTTTCTAAGATGAAGCAAGAACCCTAATAGCTCTAAAAAGACGCCTTGCAGATAGATTATACACGTCCTCTGCTGCCATCTTGTGGCAACTTCTGGCTTCTTGTGGCTTTTGCGACAACCCAAGAAGCCAAATTTTGTGGGAGTGGTAGATTCTGGGCACACTACAGAAGCCCTCGAGACCAAGCTCTGCCATATTTTGGATGTCTTAGACATTTACAGTCATATGCTGCCCAAGGGGTCCTGACAGTGGGCTAATGGACATGACATTCAGTAGACATTATGGATTCCTTCTCTTTCTCAGCTAATGATGTCATCAAGAAGTAGAATGGACTTTAAAAGACCTGACTGGGCATGACTGCTGGATAGACCATGTTACCAGCACTGTAGACTCGCCACAGAGAAGACAGTGCGAACGCAATGTAGCTGGTCCTCAAAAGGACCAATGCAACAATGGCTGCTCCCTTCTGCGTCTGCACCTCTGTGACTAGGAGCCGTCACCAGCGATTGGAACACAGATCTCTGCTATCTTTCCTCAAGGACAGGGTCCTTTTGGATGAAATGCATGTAGAGCTGTATTCATAGTCCTCAGCCAGATTGTACATGAGATTTACATGTGATATATCCCAGAAAATGATTCTGTTAATCTAGGGCAGTGTTTCTCAATCTTGGTTATCTATCAGAATCACCAGAGGAAATTTTTTTTTTTTTTTAAGATTTACCCATCTTTTTGAGAGACAGAGTGAGTGTGAGCAGAGAGGGGCAAAGGGAGAGGGAGAAAGAATCTGAAGCATGTTCCTCACTGAGCACAGAGCCTGATGCAGGGCTCGATCCCACAACCACAGACACCATGACCTGAACCAAAACCAAGAGCCGGAAGCCCAGCAGACTGAGCCATCCAGGCACCCCTCACCTGAGAAAATGTAAAACTTCACATGTTTGGGCTGCACCCCTAGCCAATTATATCAGAATCTCTAAGGACGGGACCTAAGTATCACCCACGTGAATCTATTGTGTGGGAGGGGCTGGGCATCATTGCGTGAGATAAAGAGACAATTTATGCTCACAAGCAGTGGAGTATTCATGTGTTCTTAAATAAAGACCAACATAAAATGAAGAGGGAGATGAGTCACTATTTTGTATGTGTCTAATAAAATTTGTCATTTTTCTGTCTTTTGTGACTTGGGTTATTTAAGTTAGTTTCTGTGTTTATAGGTGCTCTCCTTCAAATTCACTTCCCTGTCTGGCTGTTTGCTATTGCTGCTTTGTGACGGTGCTGGCTTGCACGGTGTTCCCCCCACCCACCCCCAAATTCACATCCACCTGGAACCGTGAATCTTTGGAAAGAGGTTGTCTGCAAATGTGATGAAACAGATATGAGGTCATTCTTGACAAGGAAGGGTTCTGATCCAATGACTCCTTAGAAGTAGAGGGAAATTTGGACACAGGCACCCAAGGGCAGACTCCATGTGAAGACAGAGGCAGAGACTGGAGTGGTATGTCGGAGGAACGCTGTGCATTGTCACAATCATCAGAGTCAACCAGAAAGGTGAGGAACAGATTCTCCAACAAACTTCCTCTTCGGAAGAGGATTTCAGGGCCCGGGGCCTCTAGAACTGGGAGAGAAGATGCTCCTGCTGCATGAAGCCACCCACTCTGCTTGTTACAGTACCTCTAAGAAAAGGACACAGTGATGTAACTAGTACCTATCATATCAGAATATTTGTCAATAAGAAGATCAGAGTCAGGTTTCCAAAATCATTCTTTTATTGTTCACACATACACACACATCTGTGATTTGCTGAACGTTCTCTAACTACAAGTCTAAGTTCCCAAGGAAGGAAGTGGGACACAATTCACATCTTGCTCCCAAAGCTAACCTGGAAATCCAATGAAGGTATTACATATTGAAATTTTCATCGAAGGCTCAGATGATTAAAGCAAAACTTCTAGAGATTAATAAAAAATAGGTGTACACGGTTTTTCACTCTTTGGCGCGTGAGCGCATGTTGCATATAAAATCACTGAACTCTGTAAACTCCGGGAGGGAAGGGTCTCTTTTGCAGAATTTGGAGATGCTGTAGGTCAAGAACTCGTGCCGTTGGGTCTGTTTAAAAACTTTGTTCATACAGTCTGAGTGGAATGATGTCTATGAAAACCAATATTACCATTTTCCATACTGCAACAAAAATAAATATACCAAAAACACCACGTTACCTCTAAGATGAAGGATTTACATCATGGGTTACAAAGGCAATGTAATGGTCATGAAAAGTACATGACAATTTGTGAAGTCTACAAAGAAGGTAAAAAGGTATATTCACATTCTGCTCCCTTTAAGACCAAGTACTGAAACAACCATTTTAGAGATAAATAAACTGAATGTATAAAATGTCATTAATTCAACCAGCATTTCTTCAGTACCTTGTGTGTGCCAGCCCTCATTTTAAAAGACATCAGCACTGATTTTTATCTGGGCATATCTAATGTCACTATGTAATTTTAAGATGTTATTAATTCTGTTGTATAAGCCCATCATATGTTAATTATGATGCCCTCCCCAGTCCCATCTGATGAATACGGTTTTAAAAAAGAAAAGTCTTACTTTTTGGCGATACAGTTTCAGCACTATAAAATACTAGAAAGGGAGACACAATTTTTTTTTTTTAATTACGATTACAGCTCAATCGCTGCATCCCCCACATTTTTTACCCTGATACGGATGCGGGCAGAGTAAATTCAGGAGAGTCACAGGTCGAGAGGGAAGAGAGAGAAGTAAAAATGAAGCATACAGGGTCACCACAGAGTGAAGCGTAGGCTACAGAGTCAAAATGAAAACTAGTAAAAACAGTTATAAAGTAAAGTGCCAAGTCCCCAAGACAGAGGAACTGCAAACAAGAAACAAGAAGGTTGGTTAAGGACGCTGAGAGGAGTAAGCGAGAGGGAAAACATCGTTAAAACAAGCACAAGAAAGTCGATACAAAGAAGACTCCTGAACAGAAGTGACCCCCTACTTAAAAAAAGACCAAGCGTAATTTCATCAGAGCTCATCTTCCGCAAGCTCTCTGAGGTCAGTACCACTTAGAAAATGGCCCCCCCACGCCCCTGAACTCTGCAGAAATTTGTCTACTTACTCATCGTACACGTCCTCGGAGTCCATTCGACGATAGTACTTGGCCAGCTTCACAGCGAAAATGATGGCGGGGAGTAAAAAGACGGTCGCTTTCCCTATGCCAAACCAGAACAAATTCTAGGGAAGAAAAGAGAATCAGGAGGATTACGTGCCTGAAGATGGGGAACGGGAAACAGCAGTTGCTGGGGGTGGAAATCACTTCCTTTTGCAATTTTTTTTTTAAGGAGTTCGAATTTTGTTCATGGAGACCATTTGTGAACTAAATACGAGTCAGTCACTATGTGAGGCACTGTGTATTACTGTAAGTCTTTAAATCTTCCTGAAAGCCTTGAATCGGTCTTATTATTATATTTATTTTACAAATGAGGAACAGCGGCAGGAGGTGGAGAAGCAAGGGTTTGAATCTAGAATACCACAAGATGGCGTTTCTTTGCTGCCAGGGAGAAGAGCAGGGCCCTCCAGCCAGCCTGAGCTTAATCCCTTTCATGAGTTGTGTGATGTGCTAATTCACCTTTCTGGCCCATCAGAACAGCAGGACCCCTGCATCCTCATCCTAAGACAGCACAGTGTGGAAAAGGCAGTCTTACGAGGCTTTCAATAAACATTCCATATTTAATTTAACCAATTTTAGGGCAGATCATAGGCTGTATTCAACCCTACTTTGTCTAAAAATCCGCTTAAAGTATTTTCAGAAATAGTTGCCAACATTCATACATCGGATTCACATAGGAACTAGGGTTTATGTCCTTTCTTGAAAAGGCTGAAGTTCAATCTCATAACATGGAGGCCCCCTCCCTACAAGGCGAACATGCTGGTCAGTCTGAAGTCTAGTTTCCTGACAAAATCAATGCCCAGAGTTCTTTCTTACGATTTAGACTGCCCGGCTATAAAGCGGTAGGTGAGTGGTGGTTCTTCCATCGAGAGGGGCATCGGTCCTCCTTTGCCCATAGCATCCTGCTAGCTTTTGTAGGGGTGACACCCAACACTGTCTAACCTCACTCACCAATCACAATGGACGCAGCTGGGAACAACCAGCATGACCCTGTGGGCATCGTGCCCTGGCCAGCGTCTTACATTTGGCCAACTTCAGAGATATACAGTCTGCCGCTGCCTTAGGATGGCGTGGTCAGTAACACCAGGGCCACCTCCCCCGCCCACCACGAGACGAAGGCAGCTTGAATGTCGCAATGCCCTCCCCACCCCCCATCCCCCACGGCTCAGCCACTGCAGTTATGCTCTTCTCCTGATGGGATGAACTGTCAAATGGCAGTGGCCCCTCTTGGCCCAGAATTTCCCGTAAATTTGTTCTTCTTCCCCATCCCCTAATATCCTTTTACTGGCAGGTTTCTATGCTAAACTTGTTTTGAGAGGTTTTGAAGCTTGATGACAACCATATCCTTTTACTGGAAGCTGCCATAATTCTTCCGGGAACAATCAAGATATAAAAGAAACATGTTAGTCAGTGTGGAGTCTTTTTTCTTAGCAAAATCAATGCCCAGAGCTCTTTCTTACTATTTAAACCACCCAGCTATAGAGCTTCAGTCTACATCTTCCTGAGCAGCCTCCAGGCCTCCCTTCCACTGGGCCCCAATTATTTGTGGAAAGGCATCTGATGGTTGGGTGATTTGAGTAGCTGGGGAAGGTGGTGAACACTGGATGTGAGGAGATCAGTTCAGAATCACCGAGGTCAGCTCAGAACACCCAAGGAGGGTTCAAACAAAGCCATCAGGGAGGGTCCGAGCTGCAGGACAAAGGAGTTAGAGGCTGGGGATGAGAGAAGGTGGTGAGGAAGCCAAGCCTTGGGACCTGCACGGGTGAGAGAGTGCAGGAGTGTTTCCATTCAGGTGTAAAAGTCCGTCCTGCAGACAGATGGTCATGTGAATGTGGGACAGGGGATTGGACAGATGGAGCGATACAGATGTACTTCAACAAACAGCTGTTTGATCATCATTTATTCAATTGCCTACACCAAGCAATGTGCCAGATGACAGGGACTCAGCAACACACGGGCCCTCTGCTCAGGGAGTCAAGAGTCTAGAGTGCACTGCAGAGGACACGTCTTAATCAAAGAACCATACAAATGTTCAATTCAAACAGCAATAACACCTGTAAAGGAAAAGCATGGTGCTCTGTCAGAGTGTAGAAAAGGGAGCCCAATCTGGGTGGGATGATCAGAAAAGGCTTCCTGGAAAAAAATACATGTTTTTTTTTCCCCCATGTGTTTTTTTTTTAATTAATTATTTTTATTGTCATATAATTATCATTTGCTCCAGGGGGTACAGGTCTGTGAATCATCAGGCTTACACACTTCACAGCACTCACCATAGCACATACCCTCCCAATGTCTATAACCCAACCACCTTCTCCATACCTCCCCTCCCCCCAGCAACCCTCAGTTTGTTTTGGGAGATTAAGAGTCTCTTATGGTTTGTCTCCCTCCCGATCTCATCTTGTTTCATTTTTTCCTTCCCTACCCTCCAAACTCCCCACTCTGCCTCTCAAATTCCTCATATCAGGGAGATCATATGATAATTGTCTTTCTCTGATTGACTTATTTCACTCAGCATAATACCCTCTAGATCCATCCACATCATTGCAAATGGCAAGATTTCATTTCTTTTGATGGCTGCATAGTATTCCATTGTATATATACCACATCTTCTTTATCCATTCATCTGCTGATGGACATCTCATTTCTTTCCATAGTTTCGCTATTGTGGACATTGCTGCTATATACATTTGGGTGCACATGCCCTTTCAGATCACTACATTTGTATCTTTAGGGTAAACACCCAGTAGTGTAATTGTTGGGTCATAAGGTAGCTCTATTTCCAACTCTTTTGAGGAACCTCCATACTGTTTTCCAGAGTGGCTGTACCAGCTTGCATTCCCACCAACAGTGTAGGAGGGTTCCCCTTTCTCCGCATCCTTGCCAACATCTATCGTTTCCTGACTTGTTAATTTTAGCCATTCTAACTGGTGTGAGGTGGTATCTCATTGTGGTTTTGATTTGTATTTCCCTGATGCTGAGTGAAAAGGACATGTTTGATCTAAGACCAGAACATTATTCACTAGTAATAGCAAACATGTATTGAGTGTCAACATATCAGTTATGATGTTAAGGGCTTGACATATAATCTCTCAATGAGCCATTGAAATAGCCCACTTAGGTGATAAGTTCAATAATTTTTCAAAGTCATGGAGTTCAGAAAATGTAAAAGTAGAATCTGAATCCATAGCCTGTGTTCTCACTCCCTGATGGATCTAGAGCTAGAGTTAGCCAGGTTGGATGTGGGTGTGGAAGGGAAGAATGAGAGAGAGAGAGAGCGCATGCAGCCTCCAGTCCAGGTAGCAGAAAAGGCACATGCAAAGGCCCTGAGGTGGGGACATTATGATAGATTTAAAGTGAAAGAAAACATGTGTCTGGGAGAATGGCGAGAAAGGTGATCAAAGAGTGCAGAAATATGGCCTCAATGGGAAGGGACCCAAGCATGCAGGGCCTGGTGTATTCAGTTAAAGACCCTGATCTTCATAGGAGATAACCACAGGTAGCCACTCAAGTGCTTCCAGCAGAGAAAGGAAGGTGCTCCCAGAGAGCGTTGGCTCGCAGAGACCATCAGTGTATATTGAGTAGTGAATAGAGCTAAAGAATACACTTGACTAATTGGAACTTATCATCCCAGTGGTAATATCTCAAGGGGCTTTTAAATAAAAAATTAAATTAAGTTTGCTATAGCTTTGGGGTTATATATCTGTATCTATATCTCTGTATATAGTTGCACTATCTATATCATCTATATCTATATCATTGCACTAAGAATCGTTTTGAACATCGGCAATCTGCCTACTAGTGAGTGCTCCTTCTCAACTATTCGAGACAAATAGGAGTTTTCTTCATGAGGGACTCCTGACTTCTATACATGTAATTCTAGGAAGGAACAAAGGTATGCAGCTAGGTCTTTGGCTTTTCCTAGTGTGTTAGGTATCATAACACATTCAGCTAAATTTTAGATCTTAGGTCTTGGATTCAACAACTTAACAGACCCAAGTGCAAAACTATTTTAAATCCTAGGGTGTACTACAATCTGCCAACAAACCCTGAAGAGCGACGAGTTTATTGTGTTTCCTTATTTTGAAAGATGAAATTCTCACCATGGGGTCGATAATGTAGCTACACAGAAAGACATCCACGGCAGAGTCTAAAGCAGTGGCCACGGGTTTGCAGGCTGCAATTTGCTCAGTAATCTGTGGGATAAGAAACACAGGAGAACTTTGAGCCATGCTCACAAAAATCCACAAGAATTAGATGTGCCATTTATCCTTGACCTGTTCTCACAAAAGGGATCTCTACACCGTCTCAGATATGGAGCTGTGAGCTTTTGGCCATAGATGAGCTCAACGATGTATACAAGTAGGTGCTCAAAAGCGAGATGCTGATTCTGTCTGAGCCTGGGTCTCTGATTTCTGCACTTGTTACCCAGAACAGTAAGACCCACCCTGGCAGGCTCCTGAGAGAGTGCAGAAGTCCAGGTGTCTAGCTCAGGATCTCAGTCTGAATTTCTCGCCTGACCCCTTTGAAATCTGACAAAGGATATGGGGGAAAAAATGGAAGTCTAATTAAACAATACTTACATTGTTTAGACTAGCGCTTGGCAAACTTTTTCTATAAAGGACCAGAGAGTCAATATTTTCAACCTTCTAGCACTTGCTGGACTCTGCCCCGGTATGGGGATAGCAGCCACAGATGATGAAGAAATGAGGATGTGACAATGCCCCATTAAACTTGTGTTCCCAGAAACAGCGCCACCTGCTGACCCCATTTCAGAAGGCTGAAAACTATGAACTCCTTAATGAAGTGACAATGATTTTTTTTATAACCAACTAAACTAATTTTATTTCTTTTTTTAATTTAAATTACCCAAACTATAGTACATCTCTAGTTTCAGATGTAGTGTTCAACAATTCTTCAATTGTGTATACCACCCAGTGCTCATACAAGTTTAATTAATCACAAACAGATGCTCCAATCTCATTGACTTAAGATAATTATATTCATTCATTTTAAAAAACTTCTTAGTGCGTACAATGAGCTAGATGTTAGTTCTTTGGTGCAGGGGTGTGTCTTATTTCTTTTCCTTTATGGGTAGGGGTTCACCTTCACCTTTTCTTCCACCTATACCTTACAAGGCAATCCACGTTAATGACCTCATTTTTTTTAAAAGATTTTATTTATTTACTTGACAGACAGAGATCACAAGTAGGCAGAGAGGCAGGCAGAGAGAGAGAGAGGAGGAAGTAGGCTCCCCGAGGAGCAGAGAGCTGGATGTGGGGCTCGATCTCAGGACCCTGGGGTTATGACCTGAGCCAAAGGCAGAGGCTTTAACCCACTGAGTCACCCAGGTGCCCTTAACGACCTCATTTTTACCAAACTCAGACAATCCTGTACACTCTCTTTCTAGGCTTTTTAACAGTTGGTTTTACAAAAAGTGGGGTAGGAGCCATATTCGGTATTTTTTCTGCATCTTATTTTTCTCTCTTATTTCTACCCTGTGAAAATCTCTCCTAGTCCCCTGGCATAACTCTGATCTACTTTGTACCAAAGGCCAACTAATATACCCACGGTGTGGCTCTTGTATGACTTAACCATTCCTGTCCAGATTCACTTGGGTTTTTGGGCATTTGCTTCATATTCTCGGTATGAATGTGACCAAACTGTGGTTCCTTTGTCTGGTGGAGGAAACGCACAGCATCAAGTGGCCACGGTGGCGATGATGATAATGCATTTCTTCTGCCCCTACTCACCTGTGTGTGCATGCCCTTTGCCCCAGCCCTGAGAAGATCCTGAGGTCTTCACATTTGGGAAGCAGGAGGAGGTGTCAGCATAGACATCAGAAAGCTGAGCCTTGAAGGAGAACCAGGCTCAGGGACCAGATGGTGGGGACTGGAGGCGGGGACGGGGGAGGGGGGGATGACACAGTGGGAATCACATGGAGAAAGGTGAACATTTCAGAGAGTCAAGCAGTTGGGTGTGGCTGTAATATGGGGGTGGGGTAGCAAAGCGGGAAGAGTTGGCCGGTAGTCTTGATTCATGCAGCCAAGGGCCAGGAATAGATATGAGACACTCGACGCTGCACGGGGTAGTCTAAATTTTCCTGAGTTCCTAGGCTTCTCAAAGTCTGTCTGGGCTGGCAGCAAGTAGTCATGCAACTGAAGTAAGTCCGAGGTAAGCATCCCCCTCCCAGCCCCTGCCCCAGTGGAATAACCCTCAGAGGCAAGTGGACCCAAAGCCCGAGATGACAAAAGGCATTTTCCAAGCCACTAAACTCCATGGGTCGGTTGCTGGGAGCAATATGCTGCCTTAAAATCACACTACTCCTAACTTTCTCTTCTAATGTACTCACAGAGACCCAACTGTTATGGTCTGAATCAGGTCCCCCAAAAGTTAATGTGTTAAAGTCCTACCCCTTGGATTCTTGGAATGTGACTGGATTTGGAGGTAGGGTCTTTGAAGAGGCAGTTCAGTTCAAATGAAGTCATTAGGGTGAGTCCTAATCCAATATAACTGGTGCTTTTGTAAAAAAAAAAAAAAAGAAAATTCGGGCACAGACTTGCACAGAGGGGGATGACCATGTGAAGATGCAGAGAGAAGACAGCCACCTACAAGCCAAGGAGAGAGGCCTCTGAAGAAACCCACCCTGCTGACACCTTGATCCTGGACTTCCAGCCTCCAGAATAGTGAAAAAACAAATTTCTGTACCTCAAGCCACCCCAAGTAGACTCATATAACAACTACCTGACAGGCTTGGAGGGGCCCAGGTCAGGAACACACCACCACTACAAAGAGAACTCACAGTTCACTGGGGAGACAGAGTCAAGTGTGGCAGGAACTCCCATAATGGTGAGCAAAGCAGCTGGGGGAAAAAGTGAGGGGTGTGTTCTCCAAGTCGGTGGGCAGGTCTGAGAAGGGGTCAGTGTGGATGACACGTGCTGAATCTTAGGACCCCCACTCCTCATGGTCCCCCTGTTCAAGGTCCTTTGCTTATCTCCTACTCAATTACTAGGAATTTAACTTTATTTCCTCCTGATTTTATCCTAGAACATGATTGTCCTAACACATGGTTCTCTTATGTTCCTTAAAGATAAACTACTTACTGAGATCTTGACCCACTGCAGATAGTGTTCAAAGTATCCTATTATCGTGTTCCCGTACTTTGTACTTTCCTGGAAAGAAATCAGAGAGTAGTAAAATCATTAAGAGGACTATCCCATACTCTCTGTGGCCACGTGGTGATGGGCTCACACCCACTTACTTCAACAATAATTGAGGAGATGCGAGTTTTGAGAAAGTCCTGAGCAGAATCCAGAGAGGAAAGAATATTGGCCACTTTCACCTGGAAAACAGCAATGGACAGGGTATCAAGTGATGAAGGGATTTAACGAAATGGCATGTGGATACAAGTGCTGTTACCTGGGCCCCACACCACAGACTTGTTAGTTAAGAAGACCACAGAACCAGCCCAGCCCTCTGAGGGCAGGGGAATGAGAGGAGTATGTGACAAGCACTCACTTTGTTCCAGACACTGGGCCAAGCTCTTAATCCAAGTCACCTCATTGAGTCCAAGATTCCCCCACCTTATCCACAATTTCCTTCACTAGGGGTCCAGGCGCAGATGATCCTCCTTCAGACGTATGGTCAGAAGGTCAATAGTAGCTAATGCTCCGTGACATACCTACACCATTCCCCTCACTTCGTCCCATCACTCAGGCGTTTTATCATCTCACATCATCATGGGAAGAAGGGGGAGTTCAGCACGGTAAGATATTTTGAGCAAGAAACCACATTCACATAACTTCCATTACAATATATTGTTTTAATTGTTCTATTTTATTATTGATTATCATTGCTACCCTCTTGTTGTGCCTAATTTATCACTTCAACTTTATCAGAGCTGTGTATGTATGGGAAAAAAACGTAAGTACAATAGGGTTCAGTACTCCCCGTGGTTTCAAGCCTCCCCTGAATACATTCCCCAAGGTTGGGGGAGGGGGCCCTCCGGTATACATAGGCTGTCAGAAGGCATTGTGTTAGGCTACCTTCACAGAGGATGTAGCTGACCCTGCTTGATGTCACCAGGCTGAGGACACAAAACCTGGGATTTGTACCTACGTAGTTCACACGGATAGGAATCCCCACGAGGTAACTTGGGTCAAGAGCTGATTTCCACCCCAATTCACCCCCACACTGGCCCCTTGTGAAGGGCAAGGCATAGCTGCACACCATCACCCTGAACAAAGGAGGCATAGGACAGTAAGGGACCAGGGTGCAGTCCCCAGTCTGTCTCCAGCTCCCCTTGGCATGGGACGAAGGTGATTAGAGGTATAGCAATGGTCCCCAAGCAGAGTAAACATACAGAAATAGTCTTTGAGGCACTCAGGGTCTTGGTATATCAATCAAGTAGCAAGCTCAGTGTTGCTCAGTGAGCATACGAGCTACAAATGAAGGAGCTCATGGTTCACTGGGGGGACCCATGTGGCAAGAAGCCCTGTGACAAAGGTCTGCAAAGGCAGCTGTGAGGAAAGCCCAAGGAAGACCATGGAGTTTTCCGTGTGGCTGACATCCCAAACCTCTCATGGGCAGCTTATTCTGCTCAGTAAGGAAATATTTTCTGAGTTGCCTATTGGCATTGAGGATATAAGATGCACACAGCACAGCCACAGAGCTCAGTTTCTACTGTGGGGGTGTCTGTGGTCCTAGGGAGACCACTGTGGTCCTGAGCACTGATACCTTCCTAGGCATAGCTTCTCATAGGTTAGGGACTTATTCTTGGGGTGTGGGGCATACGTCCCCACCCCATGATGACAGGTCTGGCCACATCGTGTCACTTGCTCTGGGCCAACAGAACATAGGCAGAATGGCAGTGTACTGGTTCTAAGCAGTCACTGAAAGGGCAGCCTGTTTCCATTCACCCTCTGATTGCCTGTCCTCTACCTGGAGGAGATGGGGTGGCCCAGATAGGAGCTGCTTCTTCAGGGTGGGTCTCTGGGTAGGCAGATGGGTGCAGAAGCCCACTCTGGACCCAATAGTGGGAATGCTTTTGTGGTCAGAAGCCACTGGATTCTTCAGGCAGTGTTATCTCAGTAACAGTGACCGTGCATCACACATCAAGACACAGCTTTTGATTGTGTGTCCAACAGGGCACCAAGGTGAGACATACTTGCAGAAAACAAGTGGTAGGAAAACCCAGTTTGGCATTCAAAATAAGTAGATAGCCAAGACTTTTGTTTTTATGTTTTTTTTTAAATAAACATAAATACTTGTAAAACAAACATCTCTGAGAGTCTGTGTGTGCTTTTACGATAAGATTCCCCCCGCTCCCGACCCCACCAGGACAGGAAAGGAAAATAAGTCCTTACCCTCAATCCACTGCTTTTGAGTTGAAGTTCCTTGATGCTTTGGTAGATAGTGCTCTGGTGAACAAACATACATGATATTTTCCAACTTATGACATGAACCAGCAAGATCACATGCCTGTGTCTCCTCACCCCCCATCCCCCCACTGTCAGCCAGCCGTCAGATCTGACTTTACTCTGGAATGGTTTCTTTCTAGAAAAAACAGCAGATGCAAGTAACGATAGCTCTGGTGTCAGGAAAGCTGAAGAAGGAAATCGAGATATGTCTTCTAGAGCATCATGACCCATGCAAGGTGCTGGAAAAACCTCATTGAGTCAGGTTTGCTCAAACTGGCAGGAACTACTCGAAAGAAATTCTGCCTAAAACTGCCCAGAGTAGTTTAATCTGAATGGTTTAGATCAGGGAGTGGTAAAAACAAAGATCAGATAGTAAATATTTTAGGCTTTGTGCACCATACCCTGTTCAAAGCACTCAACTTGATCATTTTAATTTAATTTAATTTTAAACTTTGCCCTTTTAGCTGAAAGCAGCCATAAATCATCTGTAAATAAGATGGCATGGCTGTGTTCCAATAAAACTTTATAAAAACAAAAGGCTGGATTTGGCCCACACATTGTAGTTTTGGGGGCCATAGTTTCCTAACCCCTGGTTTAGATTTTAGGTCACATGTACAGAGCTATTTGCCTGTTGGCCGACAGGTTGCCCCAGCTCCAAAAAGGCCAATGAGTCTTGCGTCTCCTTGAAGGAAAGCATTTAAGAAACGGGGAAAACCCAGCTTAAATTTTTAACAAATCTGTGCTAGGCATATACAAGGAAAGCAGAAAATTGGCATGTGCGTAGCATACAACAATCAGAAAATTCAATTTTCTTTGTGAATATGCTAATGAGTTAGAAAGTCAGAAGGGAAAAAGATATAGAAAGAGAGAGACATGGTAAAACTCATTCTAGAAGGTTCCACAATCGAAGTCAAGTGGACTGATCTGTTTCTCCAAACCTGAGCAAGCCCACTCTGTAACAGGTTTCCCACACATGTGTAATAATAATTCCTGATGTTTACAGAGTCTCTCTGGGACACTAGCCCCTACATCTCCAGGAACCAGGTGACCACAGGGCAGGATCCATTCCCACCCTTTTCTAATGAGAGATGGAAAGCCCTAAGACTTTGTGGAGGCAAAAGCAGGACCTGAAATCAGCTCTCCCTGACTCCAGAGCCCATGTCCTTTCTCTGCTACAAACTACCTTTCTGGAATTTGGGGAAAGAAGCCAGAAGGCAGCAAGAAGAAAAAGATAGGGGAAGTCAGAACAGAGGCTATGAGAGGAGAAAGGAAACATCACCCATCAGATCAGTGAACAGAGCTAAACGAGGCAGAGAGAAAAGGACTTACCCTTGCCTTTCCATATTTCTTGGCAGGGTTTGGAGAAAAAGAATTTGAGAATAAGTAAGTGTGAGTGAGTCCAGGGCACAGCCAGCAGCTCTCCAGTGAGGTGCCTGGCTTCCGGGGGCCTATTGAAGGCCAAGGGAACCAGATCACGGTGTGTGGGCCAACCCCAGAGTTAATCTACCTGGTCACAGGCAAGTGGAAAAGGCAAGGAGATAAAGCACGAAAGGAGTGGTGACAATTGAAAATATGTCTTTTTTGAAACCCAGCTGTTATCATTTATTTTATTTTTTTTAAAGATTTATTTTATTTATTTCAAAGAGAGAGAGAGAGAGCAAGTGTGGAGGGGAGGGGCAGAGGGAGAGGGACAAGCAGACTCCCTGCAGAGCTCAGAGCCTGAATTGGGGCTCCATCTCACGACCCTGAGATCAAGATCTAAGCTGAAATCAGGAGTCAGATGCTCAACCCACTGAGCCACTCAGGTGCCCCTGCTATCACTTATTTGTAACACAGCTCAGTTTCTTAGCCTGAGGCCAGCTGGATTTGACCCACGTGTGCGATGCAGACGCTTCATTAGTCTAAATGAAAGCCAGCCAGTGAGATGGGCTTTTGCTCTGGTCCCGGGGAAACCCCAAAGGTTGTGGGTTATTACCATTGACTGTTCCAAAGGAATGACTTGGCCACGGTGAACTGTTCTAATAGTTTGTGCATTATTTTTCAGGGACTGTTTCAAACTTCCTTGGGGCTACAAGGAGAACAAAATAAACAAAGATCAACACCATCCTTCCAGACTCTGGAGCACTCTCTCTAACAGCATGAGCTCAGGACAGGGTAGTTGTGACAAGCTTGCAGCCCTCCTTGCACGCTTGTGGGTGTGGGGACTGCCAGGAAGGGCATCGCCAAGACACCCTACCTTGAATGATAGAATTATGAACTCTCAGTGGCCACTCAATGCCATGAGGCTTTCCTGAGTGCTGGAGGCTGTGCTCTCTTTCTCACTTCACCATCACAGACCTGCTGTAAAGTCCAATTTCCAGCAGCTGTATCCCCATTTTACTGATGAAAAACCCAAGCTCAACTTAAACCACACTTAGTGTTTAATATGTAAATGTGTAACAATTTTATTGCTCCCATTTTACAGACAAGGAAACTAAGGCACAGAGGGGTGAAACATCTCGTCCAAGTTCTTATCATTAGGAAGTGTCTGAGTCAGGATTAAATCCCAGTCTTCGTCCAGAGCCCAGGCTCCTCATCCCCATGATCTGTTGCTTCTTGAAAGGGGCGCATTTGAGCCATTTAGTCACCAACCAGCAGGGGAAGTAAAGACCGGAAGTTTTCAGGGCTTGGCTAATGTGTTTGCCTTCCCTTATCCTCTTGTTACTGGTGACGCAAAGCACCAAATGGATTCTTCTCCTATTCCCTACACTTCGAGAAAAATGTGTGTGCACATACACCTGCGTGCACACGTGTTTAGTGGTAGAGGGGTTGATGGGTGTGAAAGCAGAGATAGTTCTAAAGCAGTGAGAGCTCCACTACCACGAGCAGAGGTCGGGGGGCAGCTCCAGGCACCCTGACACCTCCCTGGAACCACTCACGTGCTCACAGACTTCTGGGCCACACGGCAATGGCAGCTGGTGGGAAGTCTTGACATGCCCAGGGGAGAGGCATTTTTAACCAAAGGTTACTTGTGGTATAGGAAGTTAAGAATAGTATGGACATATGACATCTCTAACGATTACAGCACTTAGAACTGGACTACTTGAACTCACCAAATGGTCAGCTTTTGCTTCTAGATCACTTGCAAAGGCTAAAAGATTCACTTTGGTGGGAGCTTTACCCATCTACAAAAGAGGGAGAAAGAAAACCGCGTCATGGCTGTGGGATTTTTTAAGTCTTAACAATATCTAATAGACAACAGAGTGAATTATGCTCCATAAAATAAGGCTGGAAACTCTTACATAGGTGACAACAGCTGCACTCTTATTTATACATGTAAAACCATATTATTTTTATTCAACTACATGATCCAACCATAAAAAGAAATCAAGTACTGATCTACGCTATAATGGAGATGACTCTCAAAAAATTTTAGGTTACATGGAAGGGAAGCAGTAAAGACCATTAAACACAGAAGGTCACATGTTGTATGACTCCGCTCTTATGACATATCCAGGATCGGTAAATTCATAGGAGCAGAACATAGATTAGTATTTGCCAGGCCTGGGAGGTGGGGGAAGGGGAACAACTATGTAGGGGGAATGAGGCTTCTTTTTTGGGAGATAAAGATATTTTAGAACTGGATAGAAGCATTAGTTGAGCAACACTGTCATTATACTACAAGCTAATGAATTGCTCTCTTTATTTTTTAAATTCTTAATTATATCTTAAAGATTTTATTTTTAAGTAATCTTTCCACCCTTTGTGGAGCTCGAACTCATGACCCTGAGATCAAGAGTCGCATGCTTTACTGACGGAGCCAGCCAGAAACCCCAGAATTGCTCACTTTAATATAGTTAATTTATGTTATGTAAATTTCATCTCAATAATAAAAAAAGGAAAGAAAAACAAAACAAACAAACAAAAAAAACCCAGAGGTATCTGCTGTTATTTTTTTCCCTCAAAGATCAAGCGTGAACGCATGGCCACACCTCAGCCAAGTAGACGTTATAGTCTATGGTGTCTATTCCCGAAGCGCTGAAGTTCATCAGGTTTTTTCTCCCTGTTGCGTCCAGCAGCACAATATTGTCAATATTTACATTCAGATTTTTTAAATCATTGCTTATGTTTCCAGCATGCTGCATGATAAAAAGAAAAGTTATAAGTAAACCCATTCTTCAAGAATGCTACATACTTTCACACATTAAAAGAGCAATGACACAAGACAACAAAATCACAGATGAGCATTTGACTGGCATTTCTTCCTGGTACTCTTCTCTCCCCTCCCACTCCTTCCCTGCATCCCTGCCTCCTTCCTTATGCCCCACACCAAGCACTGTGTGAGGAACTGGGATGCAAATAATATTCCATCTCAGCCCTCAAAGTCCTCAAAGGAAGAGGCAGTGTCATAATAAAGGCACATGAACTGCATCAGGACCCCAGGGGCAGAGAAGAGTCTACCCAGGTCAGTGTCCTAGACAGGGCAATGGAGAGGAGGTGGCTTCTAAATGGGTCTGGACAAATAGAGATTTTGAAAGGGGTCAGGCAGGCTGTATCCCAGGGGAAGGAGGCAGCATGCCCTGGACTTGCATAGTGAGGACACTTGAGATCATGGGGACATGGCTGGTGACTTGGGGTTGTCCTAGGGGGCAATCAGCGTGTAGTGCCTGAGTGTCCCGAGCACTCCGTTTCTGGTACACAGAGAACACAACACATAGCATGATGCCAAATCAGCAGAGGGCATCTGGTGAGTGCTTGAATTATATTTATATAGACATGCAAGGAATATTTAGGGAGGATAATCAACACAAGACAAAATACAATACAATGCAAAATTTGTATTCAGCTTTTAAATAAACCCCTTCCTATTCAAAAACTGTCAGGCCATCATGGTCTCCTGGTGCCTCTGAAAGCCTTCTGTGATGTCTCAGTGGGCAAGCTGTGAGGTTTAGCCTCTTTCCTTGGTATCCCTTGGTATCTTCTTCCACTGGGAAGCCCAGAAGAAAGAAGGCTCCTTACGTTTTTTCCTATGAGAAGACCAAAAGGCCTCCAGGTATGGGAAAGGGGACAGCCTAGGTTCATGGCACCCTAGGCCTGACCAGCTGAAACTCTCTTGCTCCCCCTCCTGTCCAGTATGCTCTTGAGTGAGCTCTCCTCAGAGTCTTCAGGCTCATGACTTGGGGGGATGGGCTCAGGTGAAGGAGCAGGAGGAAGTCATTCCCTTCTATCAGCATCCATGGCTGTTGACATGCTGTCTTGCCGAGGGCCAGTGGAGCTCCGCAGAGGCCCCTTGCAGTCCTGGGGCCATAGCCATGATGCCCAAGGGGCAATGACTGTGTGGGATGGAGTTCTGGGTGCCTAGTTCCCTCCTCAGGGACTGGGCCAAAAAAGGTGGCCAGTGTTGGAGAGCCAATATCCCTTTGTTGGAGAGCCAATATCCCTTTGTTCCTCTAAGGACACTGACACACAGCAAGATAAGATCTTCCCATGTCAGAGCATTCGAGTAGTCCACTAGAGAAACTCAGGCCTCAAGAAAGACAATAGGTTGAGGGGGCGAGGAAAATGATGTGGAATTAGACAGAAGCGAGTGTTGCACAACCTTGTGAGTGTACTAAATGTCACTTTTAGATGGTGAATTTTATCTTATGTAAATTTCATCTCAATGAAAAAAAAGAAGAAGGCAACTGGATTGACTAAAGACATATGTCCATTTCCTGGCTGGCTCTAATTCCTTACCTCCTGAATGTTGAGATGCTCACTGATATTGTAGCTGTTCTCAAGCTTAAGCGTGGTATAGATGCCCTTATTTTCTTTGCAGTCACTGTGGGAATAAACAGAGAGATCATGATCTAGAAAGGCAGCTGTACCTACCTCTGTCCCCTGCTACAGATGGAGGGAGAGAGGCTCACTGTTTATCTTTTGTTTTGTCTAAATCTGCATGCAGAGAAGTGGCTTCTGAGTGCTGATGCAGGAGAAAGTCTCTCCCTGTGCCTACAGTTCCAGACTTCGTTCCCTGCTTTGCTTAGTGTCCCGACTTTGGAACAGATACAGTAAGACTGGTAAACCATCCTTCTGTCTATCTCCTTTGTGTTTTTTCTAGTGCTATGAGGGATAACAAGGTCACAAACAGGGAAGAAATAAATTCTCATTAAAAAAAAAAAAAACAAATAAAAGATAATACCACCTGTGTGTTACAGAGAGTATCATGGGCTTTATTAAAAGATTCTATCAAAGCCCTGCCAGACCACTTGTCTCCATATTTCCAAGGTTGAGCTTCACTTACTAAGCATATGGTTGGATGTATATTTTCAGGGCAGGATGGAGATAGGGAAGGGGCCACACCTATATCCAGATGGTCAGTACACCTAACTTGGCTACACCTCTCCGTGCTTCTCTAAAATGTGCAAAATGCCTCCTTGACTGAGCTAAGAAGGGCAAGCTCATCTGATGCATGTCCCTGTTGCTGAGACAGCCACTTCCTGGAGGTGCCTCTTCCTTGTCCAGTCACCAAAGCCTTCTAGACCTGAGGTATGCCTGGGAGAAGCCACTTTCCCACAGCCCTAGGAGGTGTGAGACTCCTCTCCAGGAAATCCCCAGTTGGTTGGTGTTTTTGGAATGGAGAGCTTGAAATACTAACCACGAAGGGTAAGGCTGCAGAATTCTGTAGGAGCCAGAGTCACAAAGAGCTGGCAGGCTGGGCCAAGGCCAAGAAGATCAGTTTTGTCCTTTCAGGCCAAGGGTGGTTTAATCGTGCACAATGACTCTAATTAATTGATAACATCTGCCTACAACATGCTGTGGAGAAGATCCTGAGACTCTTCTGACTATGAACAAGACCACAATTGACTACCAAGGTCTACCACAAAGGCCACTCATCTGCTGTCTCTGCTAGGGGAACCTCTGAACCCTATTGAACAAAGAGGAAGTAAAACTGCCCAAGGTCCCCACAGCCTGCTCCCTGACCATAGAGTCAAGACTGGAGCCCATCAGTCAGCTGCTTCACTGTTAGCATGTCTGAGATTTGGACCCATCTGCTAACTTCTTGTTATATATGGCATTTACTTGGGGGCAGCATGATTCCTGTATAAAGAGTTTTCAAAGGGTCTCATTAATACATCTTAGGGTCACCTTAACCAGCAAGGTCTAGTGCATACTGGATGGGGGACCTTGAGATATCATCATGCCAAAGTCTAGAAGGCTTTCAGGGGAAGGATTTTCTTTTTGGTCTTATTTCCACTATCTCTTTGTGAAGACAATAGAATAGCTGGTCTTATCAAGCTTAAAGACACTTTAAAAGCAAAATTCTCATTCTGGAACAACATTTTCAATAGCCAAAAAAATGCATAATGTTATTAATTCTACCTGTAAACTTGTTCAAAAGTGAGATTAATATCCGGGTTGTTAAACACCATGCCAGAGAGATAGTATTTCCAATTCTTATTTAGTAAATACGGTGTGTCCAAAATCTAGAACAAATTGAAAAAAGCTTTTTTTAAAAGAGATACTTTTACTCAAATACACATACATATAATAAAATATTCTGTTAAATGTATTTTGGGGATTTTGAAGATCATGGTTTTCTTTATTGGTCTCCAATTTAAAATGTGAAGATAAGGGGTGCCTGGGTGGCTCAATGGGTTAAGCCGCTGCCTTCAACGCAGGTCCTAATCTCGGGGTCCTGGGATCAAGTCCCGCATCGGGCTCTCTGCTCAGTGAGGAGCCTGCTTCCCTCTCTCTCTCTCTCTGCCTGCCTCTCTGGCTACTTGTGATCTCTCTCTGTCAAATAAATAAATAAATAAAATCTTAAAAAAAAAAAAAGGGAAAATAATAGTGTGATCGGAATAAACTGACGACAGGTAGCATCAATAAGAATTAGTGAGCGGGCGCCTGGGTGGCTCAGTGGGTTAAGCCGCTGCCTTCGGCTCAGGTCATGATCTCAGGGTCCTGGGATCGAGTCCCGCACCGGGCTCTCTGCTCAGCAGGGAGCCTGCTTCCCTCTCTCTCTCTCTGCCTGCCTCTCTGTCTACTTGTGATCTCTGTCTGTCAAATAAATAAATAAAATCTTTAAAAAAAAAAAAAAAAAGAATTAGTGAGCTACTTTTTTTGGAGAACCCTTCACTTAGTAAGACAAGTACATTAGAAATGGGAGAGTTGACAACTTGATTCGGCATAGCCAATAGAGAGCCATAAATCAGTAGGTCCACCTTTTTTGCTACTTTTCTCTAGGCAAAATGAATTAAAACTTGCATACTTTCTCACCTAACATCATATATCGAAGATAGCTAATAGGTCATATGTAATATCATCTATATTAAGATGAGCTCATTAGTGCATGACCACATATATGCTTCAGGAATGTAAGCCTCAAAATATCCCCTATTTTATGGCATCTGGGTGGCACAGTCGGTTAAGCAGTTGACTTTTGGTTTCGGCTCAGGTCATGATCTCAGGGTCGTGAGATCAAGCTTGGCGTCCGGCTCTGTACTCAGCGTAGAGTTGGCTTAGGATTCTCTTTCCCTCTCCCTCTGCCCTCCTGCTAGTGCTCATGCTCTCTCTGTCAAATAAATAAATAAATCTTTCAAAAGGAAATCCCTATTTTTTTTTAATTTTAATTTTAATTTTAATTTTTTATTTCTTTTCAGCGTAACAGTATTCATTGTTTTTGCACCACACCCAGTGTTCCATGCAATACGTGTCCTCCCTAATACCCACCACCTGGTTACCCCAACCTCCCACCCCCCGCCCCTTCAAAACCCTCAGGTTTTTTTTCAGAGTCCATAGTCTCTCATGGTTCATCTCCCCCTCCAATTTCCCTCAACTCCCTTCTCCTCTCCATCTCCCCATGTCCTCCATGTTATTCCTTATGCTCCGCAAATAAGTGAAACCATATAATAACTGACTCTCTCTGCTTGACTTATTTCACTCAGCATAATCTCCTCCAGTCCCGTCCATGTTGATACAAAAGTTGGGTATTCATCCTTTCTGAAGGAGGCATAATACTCCATAGTGTATATGGACCACATCTTCCTTATCCATTTGTCTGTTGAAGGGCATATTGGTTCTTTCCACAGTTTGGCGACCATGGCCATTGCTGCTATAAACATTGGGTACAGATGGCCCTTCTTTTCACTACATCTGTATCTTTGGGGTAAATACCCAGTAGAGCAATTGCAGGGTCATAGGGAAGCTCTATTTTTAATTTCTTGAGGAATTTCCACACTGTTCTCCAAAGTGGCTGCACCAACTTGCATTCCCACCAACAGTGTAAGAGGGTTCCCCTTTTTAGCAATTTCATACAGCATGGAAGATAATGAAGTCCGGCTTGATGTATCACTATTATTTTTTATGAAGAGCCCAAATAGACATAATTTAACACATTGACACTCCCAATTTAATTTTCCTCAATCAACTGAATAATTAAAATACCATGACAACTGGTTACCTTCATAGTCACTCACCAAGTTTCATAACAGATCTGAGGTGAAAGAGCATATATAATAAAACAGCAAAACAGAAATAATTTTTTGAGAACCAGAATCTGGAGAAAAGCACCAGAAAGCCAGAGTGACAAGAGTGCCACACAGATCCAGACTTCCTCGTTAATTAGTGACGCTGAACTGAGAGGTGGTCCCATAGAGTCCATAGGACGGAGTTTCAGAGGGAGAAGGTGGAGCCTGAATTCATTTCCCAACAGGCTCATCAGATGGCCTCCAGGGACCACACTCAGCCATGAGATGTAGAATTTTTCAATGTCTTTCACTTAAATTGAAGGTCTCAAAGCATCGGCATGGGCAACTGTCATTTGAGAAACCCTTTAAAATGTCAGAAGCCTTCTGGGCTACCCCACCTTGGGAATCCCCCCTCCCCATTACAGTCCACATCGATGAGCAGGTCTTAACTTCTTGTGCTCATTTTACTTGACATTCGAAAAACAATACTTTACTTTTTTTTTTTTTTTTTGCTCTGACAAATAGAAGTAATCTTAATTTACTGAATAAAACCCAAAATGCTCATCTTTTTGCCCCCACAAGATATGGGGAAATCAGTTTCCACTCAAGCCCTTTTTACAGCGGGCCCGGAAGCCATCCTCACCTGGAATAACTTCCCGTTTTGATACGGCTCACAAACCAGTTTTTCCATGTTTCCACCAATGACAAACGTGAGAACGACGATGGTCATCAGTATCCAACAAAAGAGGAAACTGACTCCAACCCCGCTGGAAACCAAAACCAAAATAAAGCAGAAATGAAGTCTGGAATTCTACAGTAAATTATTCAACATTCAGGGGCGCCTGGCTGACTCCTTTGGTAAAGCATGTGACAAGATCTTGATCTCCGGGTCATGAGTTCAAGCCCCAAGTTGGATGCAAAAATTACTTAAAAAAAAAAAAAAACAAAAAAACCTACAGGTCCAATATTACCTACCAGTACTTACTACTCCTACCTACGCAGTGTAGGAAAAGGACCTAGAGTCTTTGCTCTGTGCAGGTTAAGTGAGCCCACCTGCTCTAGACTGGAGCCAGGAAATGGTAAGCACTGTGACCTTCCAGTCCCAGTCATAAATTTAGGGAATGCTTTTAGTCTCTGGTCTCCTTGCAGCCCAGCACCATGATTCAGACATCGCCTCTGGAGTCAGGTGAGTGAATCTGGCCTTCTGCAGTTGATGCATTGAGTAGGGAGGTTCCGAGGTAGGAAATGTACCATGGGGAGTTTGAGAGGGGCCAACGTGGTTCTGCATGCAGAGGGAGGGCTGAGAGAGGCATGAACACAGCTCAGGAGGCAGGCAGGGGTGCACGGGTGCAGGGGTACAGGGGACAGGACCTGGCTGGTCCAGGAAGGGGTGGCTGCTGAGGGCCCAGAAGCATAGAAAGAGCATAACCCCGTTTCTCTCTGAGGAAGAACATTCTTGTCAGAGCATGCAGGACAGGAGGGACAGAGGCCTGCGTGGATGGGGCTACCACTGAGGAGGCTGCCGTCCATCCTGGGGTGGTGGGCTGATGTGGCTGGAGGCAGGGGACAGAAGAGATGGGACACAAGAGATGGACACAACAGGATGTGCAGGAGATTCTAGGCAAGAGAAGGCGAGGAAGGGCCCCGGGTGATGCCAGGGCTTGTCAGCAGGGAAAGGAAACACTGGTGTTGAGAAAGGGAAGAGAGGGTGGGATCTGGTCCTGCTCCCCGCGAGACGAGGTGTGGAGTTGGAGGAGAGTCGGCTGTGTGCAGAGCGCACACGTCTGGGTTACAGGCTGGCATGAGGCAATCAGCTGCTTATAAGTGACCACTGGTCCTTGGGGCTGGGACTGGAGGGAGAGGCAGCCTGGGCCCCGGCCTGGGAGACTGTGCTGCTTGAGGAGCAGGTGGTGGGAGGGCAGCTAGTGAATAAGGCGGCCAGAGAGAGTTGCAGTGTGGGAGCGAAAGCACTAGGGCACGGGGTCATGGAAGGGAAAACAAAGGGGAGTCTGCAGTGGGTAGGGAGCACAGGGGACCCAATCACTGCAGGGAGGGCACATTCCAGGGAACTACTGGAAGTCCCCTGGCTGGAAGCCTGGAGGCCACTGCTGACCAGAGGGCAGGGGAGTGGCCTGGGCAGAGCAGGGAGTAAGAAAACAGCAAATATCATTATTTCTAGACATCTGCGCAGGGGGAGGTGTGAGAGGGAAGAAGTGGTGTTAGGAAGTTTTCTGTTGTCCAGTTTCAAGAGGGGAGAAAGCAAAATGTGTTTTAAGTGTTGAGAAGCCAGGCTAGGAGAGGGGAAGAGAATGAGGACGAGGGAGAGGGAGGGCGAATCCAGGGTACCTTCAGGGCAGGGATGGGAGAGGAACAGCAGGTGGGAGGGGCCAGAAGGCAGATGTCCTTCTGCTCAAGGAACTGCGTGTGTCATGGATGCAGGGACGCTGGAGTTTTGAGAAGGTGTGTGATAGCTTTTATTTTCTCTGTGAAGAAGGAAGTCCAGCCTTCTGCTAAGAGAAGGGGAAAACAAGGAGGATGGATATATGAGTGGAAAAAGCCATTACAGAAGGAAGGGAAGGGGAGAGGGAGCGAGGAAGGGAGGAAGAAAGAAGGAAATGGGGAGGTACGACAAGGAAGCTTGTAGAACTCTGAAGGATCCATTTGAGGTGGGAGTCATAATTTTGTAGGGATGCCAATGTGCCCCATTGTGTGACCTTTCTCTAGGGTGCTCAGTTACTTGGATGTAGACACAGACAGAGCAGACTCTCGACTGAGTCTAGGTAGAACAGCTAGATCATAACAGATGATTGTATCATCACCAGTACAAATGGGAAAGACCCTCAGAAGTGTGTAGGCTGATAGACTTAAAAACATAGCCTCCCTTCTTGAGGGTGGGATTCTGCCCGGTGGACACACTTAAGGTGTAATTACAAATATTTGCCTGGTGTTGCTGGAATAAATAGCAAGGTATGTTCTCTGCAGGGGCCTCTGTCAGCCCGAGTTTCTCTGTTCTGAAAGGCTTTGGAGTTAGGGAGCGCATAGGGAAGGGGAACATGTGTGAAGCAAAAGCCAGTCACCATGGTTTTAACTGTGTGCCCGAGCATGTGCGGGCATCAGAGTTATAAAAATCATCCAAACCTTCGATAGGACACTTCAGACAAACACAGCTACTCTCAAGAGCTTACTGTTAGCATTCCCAGACTTTGTTTTCCAAAAATGCCTCTATCTAGAAAAGGGACACAGCATCACCCAAGGCCTGTCACTCAGAGAAGAATGGCTGAGAAGAATGTGCTTAAAGTGCTGTAAAGGAGGAGGAGAAGGAGAAGTAAAACAAGTACAAGAAAAATAACAGGCAACAAAGACCATCTGTGGCCAGCAGAAGTGAAAATATTTATTATCTGGACCTTTATAGAAATGTGTGCTGACTCCTGACCTACACGGTTAGTGACATGCGCGTAATCTCAGGAGCCCTAATTAAACATCTTCAGGACTTTGTTCAACCATTGAGGGTAGCCAACCTCGTTCCATTTCAGTGACCTCAGGATCTCCTGCTCCTTGGTGGCTGACGTTTGTGTCATCCCCAGTGCCTCACAATTATAACTAAATGTGCAAAAATATGGCTTGTGATGTTTTGTCTGTAGTTGGGTCCTACTTAGAGTCATTCCCTAGAATGGGAATGACTTGGTCGAGGCAGTTGTTGTGTTTTTAGGGTCCTTGCTCCAGCCTAACAAACTGCTTTCTCAACTTGCTACCATTGTGGCCCATCTTGTGATACCTGTGGCTATGCTGGGTATTAGCTTCTCTTCAAAGCTCCGGATAATCTGAGCACGGTTTCCAACAGCTAAAACTGGAAGTTTCACAGTGCATGTCAGTATAAGAAACAGTTTTCTTGCTGCCTGGGTTAGTTTTCCTTCCCTCAGGGGAGACCTTCCATGGGCCTTGGAGACAGATGTACGCTCCCCGCTGTATCCCATCCAGTCCCCAATATGCTCCCTGGACTCTTAGAAGACACAGGATCAGAGCAGAGTCAGGGCTCTCTGCCTCTCCTCCCCCCTGATCTTTCACTAGGAGCCCCAGGGGGATAAGGATTCTTGGTTTTTGAAGAGACCATGTTCTTCAACATATGGTGTCGCTGTTTTTAAGGACAGGTGGTCTTGTGGTTACAGCTGAACAAAATATACTCTTTCTGGTTCCTACAGACAAATAAACGGTTTTTAAGAAGAAATTACATTTTTCTAATTCGTTTGACTAGATCAGCTATACTTGTATCACTTTCCCCCTTCACAATTATCCAGTTGTTTGCCAGATGTCTCAGGAGATGGAAGGGCCTGCCAAACGCAAATTCCATCCTGTGGGGTGGGTGACCACGGAGCCCACAACCATCCTCAGGCTGCAGGCCACCTGAAATGCATCTGATCAGCCTTTTCCCTATAGTGTGATAAAGCCCATTGTTCCCAAGCCCCGGGCTTCCGTGTGACTTTGTCTCTTTAGAGATTCCTTACTCTGCAGAGGTGAGAATTATACCCAAACGGAAATAATTTTAGTCTCCCTCCAATGGCTCATGACTCCCCTGTTTCTTTCTTCTTTGAAGCAAGTAGCACATATTTTGGTTTTGTCCCTTCAAAATGTTCAAATAGAATTTTACAGAAAATGCACCTGTTCAGAGCAATGTACTCTCTCCCATCAAGCAGTTAAAAAGGTGGGATCTATCGACTTATCATCAAAACACTGACAAAACGGCCAAGTACCAGGATTAGTAAAATCTGAACATTAAACTAATTTTCTATCTGTAACTGGGTACACTGGAACAAAAACTCAGGGCAATATACTGTTCCTTGCTGCATTAATTAAATATGGGTATGTGAGCAAATAGGCTTTTCTATGCATGGAGCTCTGTTAAGTTTTGTGCAATTTTGGCAGACTCCCGTGTTGTTAGCTTTAAGGTTGTTTGTAAGACTATTGTGTCCCAGGCAGCTCTTTCTGCTCATGGGTCCTGTCTCCATGCTTTAATAAAACCACTTTTTTGGGGGGCACCTGTGTGGCTCAGATGGTTAAGCATCTACCTACAGCTCAGTTCATGATCTCTGGGTCCTGGAATTGAGCCCCACATTGGGCTCCCAGCTCAGCGGGGAGTCTGCTTCTCCCTCTCCCTCTGCCTCTCCCCCTGCTTGTGTGCTCTCTCACTCTAATGAATAAATAAGATCTTTAAAAAAAAAATCTTTTTTGCATCACCACCACCACCACCACCACCACCAACAACAACAAAACCCACAAAAGGCTCTTGTGCTACATTAATGTTAAGAAAGACTTGTACTATACAGGAGGTTCCATGTTTGATGGAAAGGCCATACCATCATGGCTCATCAATCTGATTAATTCAGTTTAGTTCAGTTTAATTCAGTTCAGTTTAATTAATTCAGTGACCCAATGTTTGGAAAAGCACATTAATGCAGGACACTTGCTTGCCTGATTTTCTCAGCCTGGCACTAGTGATGTAGGCTGAGATGAGAGAGTGTGGCTGAGGTTTTGAGTCTCCATTGCTCCAGGGACTTGTTCTAAACATTTACTTTCCTCTTTGAGCCCTATCACGCTCCCTGCCGCTGATTCTTGAGGTTCAGACTGGAAAAGAATATGTCAACTGGGAAGCCACACAGCTTCCTCTCTGGGGCACATTCAAAGCTTCTATCTCTGCTTCCTGCTTGACATTTCTGGCCCAACTGCAGTCACAGCCAGCTCGTGCCCCACGTGCTTTGTCCTACCCTGGTAGAGTAAGGGTTTTTTGCTTGCTTGTTTGTTTCAGAACAATGAACTTGGATATGAATATCTTGGAAGCAGGCACAAATGCTCGTCGCTGGTACCCCACACCTTCTCTTATCACTGATTAAGGCTTCGTGTCTAAATCCTAAGGGTGCTGGGTCAGCAATCTCTTTGCTAAATCAAGTTTCCAGAGTTTCAGAGTAAACAAGCTAACGATACTGTTGACCACAGAGAACAGTGTCTAAGATCAGAACAACCCTCAGCAAGTTTCTGGTGAATAAATGGATGGAGGGAGGGAGGGAAAGAGGGAAGGAGAGAGAGAGAAAATAGAATGGGAATCAAGATGGCAAGCTTAGAAATAATTTCACTACAGAGGAGCCCACCATATAGAAACACGGTGTTTAAGCCTATCTATCAAAAGTCTAACAATTTCGAGTTTTCTTCTACTTTTTAATGTATGGTGGGATTTCCCACACTGACAGAAGCACAAACACAACAGGACGCCCACTCCACTGGAACCCAGAACACTTAGCCCAGAGGCCACTGGCTTCGTGTCATCTGTTTTTTTCCCTGCATTTCCACCACCCCTCCCCCACAGCCCCCTGACGGGGCAAGGAAGAGCAAACACTCACACCATGAGGAAGATGCCCCCAGTGTTCGAGACGCAGCCTCGTTCAGTTGGGGTGGAATGGCGGTCATAGCCACATGTGCCACACATCAAGCCCAGGTAATAAAAAACCACCACGAGTGTCAGCAAACAGCAGACAACTAGGCCACCCAGCCACCTAGTGAAGCAAGCACAGTGTTATTATACTTAAAAGAGGTTGATGTCATGATAACACAAAAGCTCTTGGGCTAGGGCTGGAGCAGTCAAGTAACACTTTGCAATCAGATACCGGATTCCCCTGTTAAGGGCTCAGAGAGTGACATTGTAGCTATAAGAACCCTTCCCACCCCAGTCCTCCAACCCAACTGGCAAGAAACCTTAATTTTTATCTTGGTTTTGAAGAGCTCTGTCTCGCTCATTGGTCATGAGACTATTGCTTCCTTCCTTTGCTTCATTTCCGTGGGGCTTGTAAGCGGAGTTTACTCAAGTACTCCAAAGCTACTGATAACTGCACCCCTTTAGACCTGCAAGTTCTGTCAAGGTTCCTGAGGCGGCAAGCACTTATTATAATGATAATGAGATGTGGACAGATCAGGATGAGACAACAGATAAAGAAATATCAGGTTCTTTTCCCTGGTCCTTCTCTAAAATGCTTTGGGATTACAGGAATAATTGGGGACGGGAGCACTGTATTCTTTGCTGAACCAGAAACTCTACACGGGGAGTGAACTAAATATTTCAGAACTTACGAGAGCATCCTAAATCAAGTACTTGCAGAATGCAAATCTTAATTTTGTAATGGTCCTGTGAGACATTTTAGGATAATGGGCCCTCAATTAAGTCTTACTGGCATTCCCGGAATGTACTACAACCTTTTCCAGCAGCTGAGGAGCATTCAAGGGTAGAAATGCTTCCCAGCCGTCAAAACACTAAAAAATAAAAAATTTACTTCTGCAACAAAAGCTGCCACTGAAACTTTTCATTCAATTAAGAGCAATCTCAATAATTGTAAAAGCCACCTGCACCCACGCTGTGGCTATTTTGTTCCAGATACTGGAGAGGCCAAATCAAACAAATCACGGATCCTGGCCTCGGAAATCACTTGCGGTTAATGTGTGCTTCACCGGCTTGGTTAAAAATCTTTTAAAAATAAGCTTCTGGTTCTCAGGGCAGGGGGACCCAATGTGTAGACAGATAATTGCATGGTTCTTTCCATTTGTGAAACTCGAACCTCTAATGAGATTGTAAATTCATTGAGAAAGGGTCAGTCTTATGTTTGTCCTGACACCTGCTGGGGTGACCTAGCCACACGGTAAGAAAATGGCTGATTACAGGGCAATAACTGAGAGCATTCTCAGATGGGGGTTGAAAACCCTCCTCCCAAACATCACCACTGACCTTGTGAAGGTTATTCCACTCCCCTGAGCCTCAAGCTCCTCATCTATGAAACAAGGTTACAAATAGAACAGAACCCTGCAGGTTGTTTTTTTTTTTGTTGGTTTGTTTGTTTGTTTGTTTGTTTTGGAGTATTCAATGAGATGTCATGCGTACAGCTCTTTGGATGGCAGGCCGTAACTGTTCCTGAATTGCAAGCAATTATTGTTATTATTTTATTATTTATCTTGGGTTCTTGCTTAATAAATATCTGAACAGAAATGGAAGTCTCTGAAATTTCCATGAGTCTGGGCAAAAAGAATGATTCTGAAACTGAAAGGTGGTGGGGCTGAGCCTTTCAGAGAGGAGAGCACATCTTACCTCTCATATACATGGTCTTTGAAGTACATCCAGTCTGTAAGTCCACCACTTCTTAGCACTCCTGCCTGAGATGTCCACAGTCATCTCCAAGGCCAAACCCCACTGGCTAATGTTTTCTAATGGGTCAATCCACAGCTGAGGAGCACAACTGCTTACATGAGCTCTCGAGTAATTTACTCATTTCAAGGATGTTCTTTCTCTAAGAACCGACCTTGATATGTTGATTTTATAAGCCAGTGAAAATTAGAATATTATCCAAATGCCCTCCTTAATTCCTTTATAGGCTTTCAAATCCTTTTACATATGTTAGATAGTTACAACTGTGATTCTAGAAGCCATTAATGACGTCAGAATTGCAAATTATTGACTGTTTGGCTCAAGAACTTCCAGTCTTCAGTTTTTAAAAATATACATGAATTTGCATGCCATCCTTGGGCAGGGGTCATGCTATCTTGTATCATTCCAATTTTACTATACATGCTGCCAAAGCCAGCGCTCCAACTTATTAAATAAACATAAACTAGGATTAACACATACCAAGTTACGTGTTCTTTGTACAATCTTCTCTCACAACATGATCCCGGTTATCAGGTCTGATTTCTCCCCTGTTCCAGAACAAGTTTCACCCCCTAGCTTGCCAGCTTTGGGTGGGGAGAGGGCGAGGGGCACTCACCTGTACGAATCATACTCCTCCAATGTGGGTAAATTTTGGTGGATGTAAGTTTCAGTGTCATTAATGTAACCCATGAAATTGGACAGCTTATCCTGTATTGGAATCTGCTCGCCTATATTTTCAATATTTGAACCAAGGGAATTCAAGGAACTTTTGATATCTGAAAGCAAAGACACCCAGGTTATGCATTTTCAAACCTAAGGGAAACAGAAACTCTGTTTTGGAACCAAAATGAAAAGCTTCAACCCCTATAAGTTTTCCCCATGTTATGCGTGTGTTTCAAACATGGAAAGGTTCTACAACAGCACAAATGTAGCCAAGACCATCAAAGAGCAATTACTTAACAGAACAGCAAGCTATGGGAGCTGACTTTAATGACATGGTGCTTAAGTCAAGCCAGAGTTTTCTTCTGCTGCTTATTTCACTAAAAAATAAAATGAATCTGGTGATTAAAGCCTATGGCATGCCTACCATGGACCAGGCACTTTTATAAATGTTAACTCATTTATTTCACTGAGGTAGATCTTCTTCCTATTTTACTAAGCGACCCTGAGGCCCATTGAAGTTTAATTATTTCCCCAAAGATCTTTTTTTTTTTTTTTCCAGGAAGCACTAGAAATGGGATTGAATGTCAGGTTTGTCTAACTCCAAAGCTTCCATTAAATGATTTTGAGAAAATAATTTAATAATAAATAGCATTCAGCAACACAGTATTTCGCCAGGAACAATTTTTTGAACAAATGACCCCAGGCAACATTTTTGTTAAAATTTGATTTGACTCCTACAAATTGAGATGTGTTAAAGTTCATCTGTGTTTCTCCTATGCAGACAGTGATGCATTCCCAATGGTCAAAGAGTTTCTATTAACATCCATCCTAACCTTTCAGAGAGAAGAGAAGTTCTAATTTTTTGAAAAGGGTTTGTTCATTGTGATGGGTCCTGGTATCAAAGCTACCCAGGACAGAGACATCATCTAATTTAATGCTCACACGGGTCTGAAGTTGGTGCTACTGCAGTGATTCTTGACATGGGTGTACTAACAACATACTAATCATTTAAATGTCCACTGATCCTGAAAAGGGAGATCAATTTCTTTGTAGAAGCAGAGACAAGACTAACTGTTCTCACAATGTGATCCCAGGGCTCCTGGTGAATTTTGGGTAAATGGTAGCATGAATCAAAATGGAATGACATAAAATGGTGCGAATCTTTTTCAAAGGTTGTTCACACAGAGCTCCTAGGAGAAGACTGCTATCCACAGTGGCTCTAGTCTCTTCTAAATGTACCTGAAGACCCCAGGATCTTCAACAAGCTGACTCAATGGGTCTCTTCTTTAACTCTTGGATTTCTGGGAGTTTGAGAGATGTGGGATGCAGACCTTTCCTCCCCTATGAACAGTTCCCTCAACTCAGAATCAGGTTCCTTCTGCTTCTCAGGCTGTCCTGCTCTCCCACACCGCACAACTCCCCGGTCTTGACAGCTCGGGTGACTCTGTACCTGGCTGGTATCCTCTCTCCCTCGATACTTCCCTCAGGCCCCAGTTTGGATGTTGCTTCCTCCAGGAAGCCTTCCACTACTCTTTCCCACTTTTTGAACCGCTTGCTTATACCTTGTCATGTTACCATAGTGTGGTAAATGACATCTGTGTACATGCCCAGTTGAAGGGCAAGGCGGGGATCATGCTTTATCCATCTCCCATCCCCAGAACCCAGCAGAGCTTGGGACACAGTAGGCACTCAAACTATGTGTGCGGGGTAGGACCAAATGATCAAAACATGGGAGCTAAGGGTTCTTATTTGTTTTGGAAGGACATGAAAATAAGCAATTGATATTCAGCTGAATGGAGTGATTGATACTCGCCCAGACCTGGGAAAACTCTGGCTTGTGTTGAGGCAATGACAGTGTGCAATGGGCCTCGCTCACGCATACTGCACACCTTGCTTTGCCAGACTTACAAGGGAGGGCTGCACGTATTGGCAGAAGAGGTCCAGAAAGGGAGAACAAAAAAAAAAAGTAAACACAGAAATTAGTAAGCAGGTGGCTCTCAGACGTACAACGCGTGTTAGCCTTCAGATGTTAGCATAGGAAAGAGTGAACTTTGTCTTTTATCTCCTAATATTTTAAAGTAGAATCTTAGGTGAAACAAAAAGGAAACCACAAAATATCTAAAGACCTGTGTGATAGGATAAAATACCTTTTTTAACCCCAAATCTTAAAGGGTTGAAAGAACACTATTAGGGAGACAAAAATAATCAAAGACCTCTAACACAACATTTTAAAACCACATAGTCAACAGAAAAAAGGAAGCACAGAGAAGATGCTTTAAAAGAAGAAGAAAATCTCACATAGCTTCAGAGATTTCTTCTTTAAGCAAATAACCCCTGTCTATTTCCACTGCTGTGCATAGAACTGTGTGTACTGCACTCTTTCTCTGTGAATTCACCCCGAATACCATAACCAGAATACAATGTGACTTGATCATTTAAGACTAGGAGAATTCTCTCAATATCAGTTCTGCTCCTCCAAAAATCCTAAGCAACCTTAAGAGCCTAAGATACCATTACAGCAACATCAAAAAGCAGATGAACATCTTCTTAAAAAGACAAAATAAATCCTTATACATAGTATTCTTAGAAAAAAATGAATTTTAACGTTTGTTTTTTTTTTAAGAAAATATAATAATCTACAGTTTTTCCCCAGGGAAACCAATCAAAATGTGACCTTCCTAGTTTAACCACAGTTGTCTCCAGTTCTGATAGCTCAGGATGAGGCCTGCTCACTAGAGTGTGGCTTTGACCTTGCCTCTCTTGCCAGCAGGACAATGTTAATCAGAATTCAATAGGATTATCATTTCTTAAAATCTAAATCACTGTGTGAAGGTGGCACAATTAAAAAGGTCTGAAACTCATTTAATCTTCCAGATCAGTGAGAGAAATTTTTTAAGAGAGAAAAAAAAAAAAAAAACAGTTCTTAACAATACATTTTTTGTGTGTGCGCTAATCACTTAATGCTTAACAAAGAGAGAAACAAAATTACTTCAAACTCTGACTCTCACCTGATATGATGTCTGTGGTTTGATTTTGCACCATCTCAGGAATATCATTAAAGGATTTATAGCCCTAGAAAATAGTTCAAAGTAAATTGATACACGTAGTGAGTAGAAGGGCAATTAACGAGGATTGACTTTTCAGCTTAGCATGGAGGAAAGAAGCAAAATAAAAATGCTAGCAGTCATTTTCTGGCTGACATCATCACTATACAGTCATTAAAAGATGACCAAAAAATCCCTTCTTAGAGAGGACTTTCTCTTTAAATTGAATCCATCAAAGACATTGCTAAAAGTTTTTTGCTTTTAAACTGTTAACTCATGTTATCTATACTAGTGTTTCTCAGTTGCGGGCGATTCAGTGTCCCCTCCAGGGGACACCTGGCAATGTCCGGAGACATTTTGGTTATCACAAGTATGGCACTATGTAGCAGGGACCCAGAGCTCATAAATATCCTTCAATGCATGGGTCAGCCCCCACCACAGAGAATCATCAACAGTGTAGACAGCCCTGCAGCTGAGGAGGCCCTGATCTGTGCAATATTCCATGTGCAGGCAGAAAGTGAGTTTCCAAACCAGAGCCGTATTTTCCAGAGCAATTAGAAAGTTAGACTTGGGATCTAGTCTCACCCAACACACAGCTTTTAATGAGGCTGAAGTGAAAACCAAAGCAGCCATGCCAAGCTATGTCCTTTAGGGGATAAATCTAGGACAAGAAGAGGTCATTATTTCCAAATAACTCAACTGAACAGAGTGTTTTCTCCAGAAGGGTTTCATTGTGTTTCTTAGCTGTCTGCTGGTGTCTTTAGCTATCTGCTGGGGAATACTGTATCAATTACAACTTGTTATGGACTCAATGTCTGGGCACCCTTGCCTCCCGTCCCAGGCATCACACCCTGAAATCCTAACCCCTTACATTGAGTGATGGATGGTATGAGGAGGTGGGACCTTCCAGAGGTGATGAGGTCATGAGAATGAAACCTCAAGAATGGGATTAGGGACTTTATAAAGGGGACCCCAGATAGCTCTCTCCACCACATGAAGATACAATGAGAAAATGGCCATCTGCAACCTGGAGGGGTCTCTCGCTACAACTCGGTTATGCTAACCCTCTGATCTTGGACTTCCCGTTGCCAGAACTGTGAGAAATAAATTTCTTTCGTTGAGAAGCCACCCGGCCTATGACAGGCTCTTACAGCAGTCTATTCTAAGTTACAGACTTTGTAAGACTGATGGTGCCAGCAAGTTTCCAGTTTAGCCTGGTAACATTGATGCTGGAACAAGAACATCTACCACTCCTGTCTCCTCAACAGTGACTAAGCCACCAGCACACAGGTGTTTGGATGAGTGTATGTACACCTGACCCCACTGAATTTATCTGCCTTTGGACTTGAGGTCACCCATTGAAAGAGGTTCTATGGGAGAAGGGGCCTTACAGATCTCCTGGAACAACTCCCTCAATTAACAAATAAGGGGACACCAGGACACAAAGACCAGGAATTAATTTCTCTCCCTTTCTTTCTTCCTTTCTTTCTTTCTTTCTTTCTTTCTTTCTTTCTTTCTTTCTTTCTCTCTCTCTCTCTCTCTTTCTTTCTTTCTTTTTTTCTTTCTTCTCTCTCTCTTTCTTTCTTTCTTTCTTTTTTTAAAGATTTTATATATTTATTTGACAGACAGATCACAAGTAGGCAGACAGGCAGGCAGAGAGAGAGAGGAAGAAGCAGATTCCCCACTGAGCAGAGAGCCCAACTCAGGGCTAGATCCCAGGACCCCGGGATCATGACCTGAGCCGAAGGCAGAGGCTTTAACCCACTGAGCCACCCAGGTGCCCCAAGACCAGGAGTTTCTAATGAACTGTTTAAGGTGACACTTGACTTTGTAATTAGATGAGTGTTTAACAGATTATCTGATGACCTTTTTATGCCCGTGCTAAAAGACAGAGTCAAGAGTACCATTATTCCTTCCCTTTCCTGCAGGTCCAGGGCGCACTTATTGAATCATAATCTACAAAGAAGTATTTACGGTGCACTCAACATATCGGTTGAATAAAGAGTAATAATTGGTAGGTTCTCAGGGAAATGATGATGTTCTAGATCAACGTAGCCCTTGCCAATTTTAGGGCTTACAACTCAAGTGGAACCAGACACATTAAAGCAATAATTATAGTTATGAGGACCTTAACAAAGAATATCTGCTGCGCTGTAACAATGCATTGAAAAGGGTTTGACTTGGTCAAGATATCCAGGAAAGACCTCATTAAGAACGTGACACGGGGGGGGGGGGGGGGTGTGTGTGGTTCTGTTGGTTAAGCCTCCAACTCTTGATTTTTGCTCAGGTCATGATCTCAGGGTCATGAGATCGAGCCCCATGTTGGGCTCTGTGCTCAGCGGGGAGTCTGTTTGAGGTTCTCTCTCTCTCTCTCTCTCCCTCCGCCCCTCCCCCACTTGCATGCAATCTCTCTCTCTCTCATCGTCTCTAATATAAATAAATAAATCTTTAAGAAAGTGATATTGAATGCTTTAAGTAACTAGTACTTTGTAGCCTAAGTGGCTGGGCGAAGGAGAGAGTGGCAGACGCAGCCCACAGCGTGTGTGAATGTGCACAAGGGGGAGGAGACGAAGTGACAGGGCTGACTCGCAGAGTGGGAGGGCACCTCGCGGCAGAGTCAGTATGGTGTTCGGCACTACACCCATCAAATTCTGAATCCCAGGAAGGTGAGATCATCTTTTGCTTTTCATCTCCAGCATGGTGCTTTGTACACAGCAGATGCTTAACACACATTTCTTGAAGTGCAATGAGAAAAATTACCCGGTGGATAATAGTTAACAACCTTCTTGGCAGCCCTGTTTCCAAAATTTTAGGGCTTTTTTTCCCAGTTACCTCTTTTCTTATGTACTAGTCTACCCTTTAACATGATATAAACAAACCACTGTATTTTTTCTTTTTCCAAAAAAAGCATACCTGTTGGACCAGGCTGGACAAATCTGTTTGAAGAACATCATTAATATTATCAATTTGCTGATCCAAAGATGGGAGCTGAAAATTCATAAAACAAAATATAAGGCAAGGTGGATACTGCCAACATTATTTGTCATAAAAAAGGGAGTCATCTTATATCCAAGTCCCAAAGTCTCTATGTTATAGGGTATGATTTAAGTTTCTTTTGAACAATAGAATATTGTCTGGGGAGAAAGACATTTAGTTCAGAGTGGCCTCTACAGGCATTAAGTTTTAGATGTTTGGAGGACTCCTGCTGCAGTTAGCAAAAATTAGGGAAAGAAATTTAACACAGATCAAATATGTGTGATCTCACAATTTCAGGTACTGGATATTTTTCAATAAAGCATGAACAACCTCTTTAAAGACATGTTTAAAAACAATAAAGCCAAAGGTTATGTTGGTGAGTGGTCTGGAATACATTTCTCCTTGACAGCATTGTACATGGACTTAAAGTGTTCTGTCTCTCACCAAGACAAACATCACGGATCTCCTGACACGATGTACCAAGAAGAACACAATATCACTCTTGCGATATCCCCGACAAGTATGCATGACTCAAATCTAATCGTGAGGGCACACTGAATAAACTTAAATTGAAGGTCCTTCTATAAAATAAATGGCCTATAGTCTTCAAAAATGTCAATGTCAAAAAAGAAGAAAACGGGTGGAGGGGTGCCTTGTTGGCTCAGTCAGTAGAGCATGTGACTTTCAACCTCAGGGTCATGAGTTCAAGCTCCCTGTCTGGCATGGTCCCTAAGTATTTAAATAAATAAATAAATAAATAAGTAAAAAATTTAACAAACAAACAAGACAACGGTGGAAGACTGTCCCAGATTGAAGGAACTAAACAGACATGACAACTAAAGACCATGTATGACCCTGGACTGGCCCTTAGACCCGAGAAAGAAAAACAGCTGTATAGTCAGATTTTTTAGGAAAATTAGGAAAATTGGAATATAAACCATGGACTAGATGGTTATATTGGGTCAGCATTACATGTCCCAATTTTGAGAATCGTATAATAAAAGTTGTGTACAGTTAGGAAAGGCACTGAAATATTTAGGGATAAGAGGACATAACCTGCAACTTACTGACAAGTGATTGAGAAAAACACAAAATGCACAGTATTTTATAAAATGACAGTATACAAATGACAGTATTTTATACAAAAATGACAATATGAGTAGTTGGTAGATACACAGATGGATAAACAGATGATGAAGCAAATGGAGCAAAAGGTTGGCAACTGGTGTGTCTGGGAAAGGGTGTAGACAAGAGTTCCCTGCACCATTCTTGCAAATTTTCTGCATGTTTGAAAGGACATCAAAATAAAAAGTCACCCCCAGAAGACTCAATCCTATACAATTTAAATGCAAGGGAAGATCCCAGTCTCTGAAAGACTGTGCACTGGTGACCACAGTGATATGCATAACTCATACATACACACTGAGACTGAAGGTGAAGAATGTGCATAACGTTGGCCCATGAGATAGAAAGGTGTGAAGAGTATAGTCATATTAAAATATTTTATTAAAAAAAGTAGCGTGTATATACCACTATCTTCATACATTAAAAATCATTAGGAGACATTATTTTATCTGTACCTCAGGACTTTATATATTCAAGTTGCTCCAAATTCCTTCTTTTTTCCACCTAATTTTCTCTTTGGAATATGGGGAATTACCTTATATTTAGGCATATGTGGTTAATATACTAGGCATGTCATTTGAAACTATATTTTAATTTTTAAAGGTCTACAAAAATACATCTTGTTTCCTTTTTTCTTTTTAAAGCTGAATTCATTCTGGTAGGTTCCACCAAATCAACTGCAGAGAACACTTAAGAGGGGAGGGGTTTCCCATTTTTCCTTCTGCCTGGCCACAGCCGTGCCAATGTGGTGATCAGGACGCCAACAGAGACCCAGGCCGCTGTTCATCTGACAGGGGTCCCAATGGCACTGCCCTGTATCAAGGTCACCTCCTCACCTGACCCAGGTTGGTATTGTCCTCCAGCTGGCCAAGGGACATTCTGATGTTGTTACAAGTGGTAGCCACTGGCGGGACAGAGCACATGGGGTCATTGAGTGACTGCTCCACATTCCTTTTCACATCACTGAGGCTGGTGTTAAGCTGTGCAGTTGACCTCTTCAGCTCCTTTAAAGTGTTGTTTACATTCAACAAGGCTTCTCTGGTCTCCTTGATTGCTGTGGGGACACACCTAGCGTCAGACAGAAGCACCCACCAGGCAGGCAGTGGAAACTCGTTCTCATCCACAAGGACCCTTCAGGGAACTGGAGATGGACTTATAACAGACATTGGGAGGCAACCAGAGGAGGAGCCTGCTAGGGGAATACAGAGACACTGTTGGCCTCCTTGCCCAGCTACTCCAGCCGGCTCAGCTTTCCCACCTTAGGGCTCTTTGGACAAGAAAAAGGAGTAAGAACAAGCCCAGGAATGCAAGGGGGACACCGAGTTGCTGCATTCACTGGCCGCCACTGGAACAGTCATGGTAGGAAAAGATGTCACTCCCCTAGCATCGCCCTGTCTTGAAGAGGCCAGCCCTAACAAGCTAACATCTTCAACCCTGAGAGGTTTTAACCACATCAAAACTGATCACACCCAGACATATCTCAGCGACGGATATTCAGAGAGCTGGAATTAAACAGAGTAGCAGATGAAGAGTATGATTTGGGGTTCAGGCAGGTCTAGGTACAGATCCCTTCCTTGCCACTTGATGGTCACCGGAAACCGATTCCTGAAAGTTCTTTAGTGATTTTCTCATCTGAGCATGGTGAAACCACCACCACATTCATCCTTGCATGTGGGCATCAGGATGCTCAGACAGATTCCACGATGTCATCGAGTCCATCTGTTCTATTTGGGGAGACTCCCAGGCAGGACACATTCTTATACTAGGAGATCCTTGATAATTGTTTGCTATCTTCCTGATTTTTCTGAGGTGTAGAACTATGTATTCATGACCAGGGAGGTTGTGAATTACAACCCTTTTCTACAATGACTTAAAGCCACAGGAGTAAAAGATGTGAAATTTAAATCAGAGGGCACTGCTTTTCTCCTAAGCCAGCAAGCCTTCCACGCTCACAGAACAGATGGCAGAGCATTAAGCCACAGTTGGGTGTTGCAAGCGAAAGTGTGAATGCCCTTAAAAACTGGTTTCCCCTAACCTTCCCTGGCAACCACATACAACTTGAGTGAGAAAACCATGTGCACATACAAACGCATGCACACACACATGCACACACACACTTTAATGCATTGTGTTGTGGGATCTCGCCTGAGGTCTTATCCCAATTCTGCAAACACCTTGTGATAGCATCTTTGGCAAACTGTTTCACCTCTGGGGATCTCGGTTTCCTCATATGTAAATTAGGAAGCTGGCTGGGTCATCTCTTGGTTCTTAGGAGAGTCTATGATTCTTGGGTCTGCTCACCCAAGATGGCACCACAACCCAGCTCTGATGATTTACCCTGAGACATGGGGAGGTTTCCAGGATTAGACCGTATGGCCATTGGCCCCAGATTTTGTCACCTGACCTAGATATAAAATCTTCACATCTGCTTCAATCTTTTCTCTGGAATTTTGGTCCAGTCATGTCTTAATAGCATTGGAGATACAGTAGTATTTAAGACTTTGTCAAAGAGCCACTCTGGGAGTCAGTGTTGCATCTCTTGCACTTACCTCCCAGGATTATCAGCAAAGCATGGGCTCATATTAGAGGGTCAATGAATGTCTACCATAGCAAAAACAAGAAACAAAGAACAGGGTTGCAACTAAAAACACAGACAGGATGCAAAAGAGTGTGCCAAAGTATGCCTCCCATCACACAACACACACCTCCCATTTTAACGTGGTTTACCTGTCAGAGTCCTTTCCATTTTAAGAGAAGGTATTTTAAGGCAAGAGACAAACAACAACAACCTAGAATGATGGGTGATAAAATAAATTGATGGCCCAGAATATGTGTGTCCATTTAAGTATAGTCTGCAGACATTCTGGGTTATGTGTACTATTCCATCATGTCCTAAGAAAGACTCAGAGGTAATAAATATACATTTTTTCCAAAGCCTTCAAAGTATTTTATGTCTATAAAATATCTACTGGGTTACAACTCTGGGAGTCATTCCAGACTTAGCAAGATCACATATATTATGTATCTGAAGTCAGTGGAAAAATATTTTAGATTCTCAATTTTAGTTAATTAACATTTTTACCAGCTCATAGCACATTTCCTTTGTAGTTCCTGATCTTCAGCTCAAAAAAGATTAACACAGATGAATTTGCATGTTTCTGCTTTCTCCAAAGCCACTAACCACGTAAGGCTGCAAAGAATTTTTAGCAAAAAATTTGTCAAAGCATTGATTCTCAGCCTTTTGGCTAAGATCCAGTGCAGTATCTGTTCTTATCAATTTAATATCTGATATGTCCTCTATCTAAGGACAATATATTAAATGGATTTTTGGAGCAGGGGGATGGAATGAGTTTACTCCATCCGCTCCACACATCAACCTGGCATTGAAGAACCTCCAGGAATGATGGTTCCCGTCAAGGACGAAAAAAAAAAAAAAAAAAAAGTCAGGGCAGTTTATTAGGCATAGTATAAGACGCTTTGGCAACACCAGAGGCTAAACTATAACATGTTTAGCCTGCTTAAAAAAACAATAAAACTTTAACACTAATGCAGGAAGCACTGAAGAGAGCAATAAAATCTGTTTTAATGGCCTTTAATTCAAAGGAAACTATAATCCAAACAGTAAAAATGGCCAAAAGTAAAGATACACAGCAACCACACTGCATTATTCATATATTTTTGTGCAAAATTTACCATTACATAATTTTGGAGCTGGAGAACTCCAAAGATCAATTTTCCAAATGCCGAGCATCCTTCCATGGCCACACCAGCACCTGAACTCTAGATTTCTAACTCCTCCTCCAAAGTTACTCTCTAATGTCTTGCCATGCATGGCACCAAAAGTACCCTACGCCTTAACACTCTCCAGTGGTGTTGGTACCTAAATTCCATCTAGTGTGGACCAGGCCCCTCAGGCTTTGTAGTTAGACCTGCATCTGAATCCCAACTCCACCACTCCCCAGCTACCTCGTCTTGGACAAGTTACATGATCTCTGAGCCTTACTGTCTTGAGTTGGTAAAATGGAAGTGACTATACCAATCACACAGAACTCTTATGAGTCCGAATAGGGTTTAGGAAAAGTACGTGGCATACTTTCAATACTCAAGGCCCTCAACACTCTAAATATTACTTTATGGCTAATGATTTCTACAAACACTTGCTGTGGACTTTGTTGGTTGACATCTCAGAAGTCACGTCATCGTCTATTGAGATGCAGGAAAACTGTGTTTAGATAACATGGGTCCCACTTCCCACTTATCCATTTCCCCTGTGTACCACTGGTCCAAAGATGGCTGTGGAACCCTGAATGCCGCAACTGGAGGGAAATCTGGTTGAGGAAGAGGAGCAATGTGACTGGTGTCAGCCCTCTTGCAATTATAAGGGGAGTTTGCATTAGAATGATGCAGACATTGTAGAGAACAGCTGGGTGGAAAAAAAAAATCTCACCACTAGATCAAGCCTTACCTGAAGCCAGTGTCAGTTATATGAGCAAACAATCCACTTAGTTGAAAACCAGATAGAAACAGATTTTCTATATGTGTTGGGGAAATGACACATAATTACTCAAGAGATGTTTCAAAGAGAAGAGAGATGACTGGAGATATTTGATTGTAAAGGTCACAGAGCCAGCCCAAATCAGTAACCCAATGGTAAATGCAAACACACGAAGCTATGATGAGGGGACATAGAGGATAATTATCAAGAGCGATGCCAAAGATGTGGGAAGTGAAGATTCAGCATTTTACAGGAGTGACAATTCTCCCAGTGAGGGGATGAGGAGAAACCAGGAACCCATCTCCTGTCATTGTCTGTTCCTGGTGGTTGGTTAAGTAATACTTCCTACTAACCATAGGATGGGGCAGGCCGCCAAGGGCTCCTTGACAGTGTTGTCGAATCTCCGAAGCAGCTAACTTTGGAATTGCCATACCTCCAATATCTTGTCATGTATGATATATTTCCTGTTGTTTAAGCCACTTAAAGGGTCTTTGGCATTGATACCACATCAATGGCACCTCCAAAAGACCTCTAAGAATCGTCAGCAAAATTCCCAAAGCAAATAAAAACAACTATAATCTGATTTAAATAGGTAGATATATACAAAGAGCACATTAAGGGTAACTAAAAAAAATCAAATGACTACACACATTAAAAGATCAGGATGCTTGTAGTCAAAAGGAGTTGCCTAGTGACTGAAGCAAGACTATGAAAGAATATAATCTATTTTCTCCTCCATCACCAGCAAAGTTACAGTATTCTACACTTAGAAAATGAAGATAAGGTCTGCAGGCCTTTATTCACTCAAGAAATGATAATTTTCTCTGAGCCAGATACTGTGTTGGGTGTCTCCAAACATAAGCTAGGGGAATTAAGAAATGAACAAATCAGCAGGTCGAGGAAGCATGTGCAGGACAGGGGTCTGAGAGAGAATTATGCCTACAGAGACCTATGGTAGAATAAAGGCTGAGATTCATAGCTTGAAAAGGAAGGTTTGGGGGTTGGAGGGTTGACATGGGACGTGACTGGAAGCATAGGCAGGGGCCAGGTATGTAAGGAAGGAAGGAAGGGGAAATGGGTGTTTACAATCACATCCCTTCTCTGGGCCTCAGTTTCCTTGCACTGGAAGGACGTGGCTCGTGACAAGGGAAGCAGGTGTCAGGGAGGCATCTAAGTGGCACCCACAGCAGAGCACATGCCTTCAGTTGCAAGTAGAACAGTTGCAGGGTCAAGGAGAAGAGCAAGGAAAGACTAATCGGTTGGTTAAAATGAATCTTACCAACTCCTGGCCTGTTTTGCATGTCATCCTGTTTCCTGTTTCCATGTCTTTCAACTCTAATGGGGGGGTTGGTGAATGGCAGGGAGGAATGTCAAAAGGAATGAGCTTAACTTTCCAACTTCAACACATGTCCTTCCTTTGTGGCCTGTCTTCTTGGGAATCCTGGCTCGTGGAAGAATTCACAGTGGAAGGATGACAAATGTAAGACACAGATGAACGGTCCTCTCTACCAAACACTTAGCACAGACATCTCCTCAACATTTGGAAGGGGCTCACAGTCTTATTTTTTCACTGCAATTGAACATGTAGTTTCTTAAAATCAGTACATCTGCTCCCTTAGATCACAGACTGTGGTATCTTAAGATATCTCTACAGATTCCTCTTTTCCCAAAGTTGTTCTTTCCAGGAAAAAGGAAAGCGTAACCAATAGACCCCCAAAGACCTAAACTTCTCGAGGCTACTCATCTTCTGTAGCAAGAGTCAATAAGCTTTTTCTTTAAGGGGACAGATGGTAAATACTTTAGGATTTGTGGGCCACAGGGTCCCTGCTGCAAATACTGAGCTCTGCTGTGAGATGCCCCCTCACCGGAGGAACACGGCTGCCCTCCTTTTCTTTACAAAAACAGGTGGCAGGCTCCTAGCAAATGCTGCTGTTATTATTTCAAAGGATGTGGAGACCATTAGTACAACCTCTTTTACACAAACTTAAAAACAAAATAAAACAAACCCTTGTGATGCTGTGTGTCTTTACCTGGCCTGTTGGCATGCCCACATCTGGGGAAAACAAGGGGAACGTGATCCTGGGAAGCAGGAGACTTCCAGTGGGAACCCACTCTTGCCCATTTCTGGAGTGATGCTTACCTTCTGCCATGGCCTTGATATCATCAAGCACGGGTGTGACTTTGGGTCTTAGCTGTTCGTGAATTCCACCTCCTAGCAATGACTTAATATCTAAATGCAAGGAAGCAGAAGGGGCTGTGAGAGCAGGCTCCAAGGATTTCCTCATCTCTTAACCCATGTTTTCCTTCCTCTGCAGGATGTCCCCCTTGGAAAGTCATGTGGGGTCTCTCTTGCCCTGAAAACACCCTTTTCATCCTTGACCCCGTTTAGGTGTTAATTCTTGGGGGAGATTTCTCCACGCTGTTCAAAGTTTCCACACCAGCAGTCAGTCCCCCAAGAAAAAAGCAATCAACACAGGCTGGGTATTTAATCCTACAGGTGACCCCTGCTGATTTTGCAGGGGGATGAGCCCATTCAGAGACTGCGAGAGTGGCGCCCCCCAGCGCCTTCCCCAGAAGTCACACCCAGCATCTCAGGGTGGAGGGCATGAGCTCTTCGCTGGGTCCCGAGCGTCTGGGCTTGTCTCCAGCTACGGTGTGCATCCATTCGCAGGATGTGTCCTGTGGTATCAGGAAAGCCTAAGACAGGTGACTTTGGGAACGCTCTGGGAACGCTCCAGAGTGTTTCCACTTAGATTGATAGGAATCGTTCTTTGCGTTATGCCATTTCCGGTTACAAGAGTATTCACAGGAATGCTCAATTCTTGGGTAGTGGGAAACCTTAGAAACTCAGGGTTTATAAAGTCGAGCTGTGTGTCTCTGATCTCTTCAGTGAGGCCATGGTTTCCCAACAATGACATTTATGGATGTTTCGAGCTGGATAATTCTTCATGGTGGGGGCTGTCCTATGTGTTGTAGGGTGTTTGGAACCTTCGCTGGCCTCTATCCAAACATGCGGGCAGCACTGCCCCCACCCTCACCTGTTGGGACAACCACAATATCTCCAGATGTTGCCAGATGTTGCTTGGAAGGCAAAACAGCCCCTGGGGGAGAACCACTGAGGGAGGCTGTGTGGAACCTCCTCGGGGGCCTGCAGGGGCCAGCTCTGACTGACCCCCGATTTCCGAATCTCACTGGCTTCTCTGGGGAGCCCAGCTCCATCCGTGACCCTGAATCTGACAGAGACTCATTTCCCTCATCACCTGGAGAAGGCAGAACAAGCACAGGGCCACAGGAATGCAAAGGCATTCTTACCATAAAGGTTGGATTTTACTCATTGGGTAACAAAAGGCAAATTGTCCATAACTCTAGGGAATTGTTCTACTTTGCCCCAACTTCGGTGCAGAAGTTGTAGAAATGGCATATTGATCACTTAGCCTATGTTTCACGGGAAATGGCCAAAGTCTCTTCTAGCCAAAACCAACCAACCAACCAATAAACCAACAAAATGACAAATGAAGTTGGGGCAACTTTAAGTTTTACTCACTATCCAGATCCGAGAATGCCTTTTTCTTTGTGGTTGCATACTGGCTCAGCACATAGTTGATTTGCTAAAAAAAAAAAAAAAAAAAAAAAAAAAATGGCATGAAACTCTTCTAAAGTCCAAAGCCACAATAAAGAGATCTAACAAAAACCATCTTGAATCAGAACATTTTAAAAAGAAAGCAGTTCCTAGAGATATTTGTATTTTCTGATACCCAGGCTGCTTCTTCTTCTTTTTTTTTTTTTTTGCATAAGCCTTTTATTATTCTTATTCTTTTTTTTTTTTTTTAAATAAACATATAATGTATTTTTATCCCCAGGCTGATACCCAGACTTCTTAATACTCCAACAAAACTTCTTGGCTTGGGAAATAGGATTTCTAATTTCTCCTGATTCTGTGCATTGGCCCTGTGGAGAGTCGGGGCAGGGCCGGCGGGGCTGGGGACAAACAGGCCCCTCCCCTGACATGGCCTCTCATCTTTTCCCACCCAAGTACTAACCAGGCCCAACCCTGCTTAGCTTCTGAAATCAGAGGAGGTCAGGCACATTCAGCGTGGTCTGGCTGCAGGCTGTGTCCTCTCATCTTCTAAGTGGCCAGCCTGAGTGTTTTCACACCATGCTCTCAGTAGCAAGAGAGCAAGAATGGATACTGTGAGGTCTCTGGAAGCCTGAGGTCAGAGCTAGCTCAAGGTCACACCCACAGCATTCTTTGTATCAAAGCAAATCACAGGTACGGACCAGATTCAAGGGGTTGGAAAGAGATTCATCTCTTCAAGCAAGGGACTAAAAAGAACTCGAGGACATTTGTAATCTACTGCATTTAAGACCAACCATTTTACTCAGTGGTCACTACTGAGCTGGCCTCCGAAGGTGCTGCTTACCCTCCAGTCTTCTGGGCCCTAGCGGACCTGCTTCCCCACACCCTCTGTGACACTGGGTGTTACCGTTGGCTGAATAACCATTGCCAATCCCCTCAGTGAAAATGTATATTAGTATTTAAATTTTCATTTTTCCAACTACTTGAGTAAGGTTAAATAGTTAATATGTTTGGGCCAATTATATGTCCTCATTAAATTTACTCACATTCTGCCCATTTTTTACACATTTGTTAGACCTCTTCATTTATTTTGAGCTAGATAAGTTTCTCCCAAAGTTATGACAATTTAGAATCCTTCCAAGATTCTGAAAACAATCCCAAAGTTCACCAGCCATGACTGCTATAATATTTAGTGTTGCCACCTTTTTAGGAAAAAAGTTTTACTTTGAAGTCTTTAGAATGGTGGCTAAAAAAATAGGAAATTTTATTCACAGATGGGGAAAAAGAAACATTTCCCTCTTATAAAGCTATGAATAAAATTAGCTTCTCTAACCTCAATATTTTTTAAAAAAATGCTTGCAGTTTTTGCTCTTTTAGTTCCAAACCCATTTTTAAAAACTGGTACAATACCTAATATGTTAGTATTGTTTAGAATATAACAAACCTAGAAGAGTACATCTCTGTGTGGAAAGGCCCATGGATTCTGGTGGAATCTGATTAGGGAATTGAACAGGAAGGCATCTTTCTCCTCATACTGGTACTTATGAGCTCAGCATCAATTATTTGGGCTGGTTTCTACTTAGATATTTTTAAAAACAATATTTTCTACAGGCAAGACATCACATGCTTCTGGGACACGGAAAAATGTGCCATCCAGCCATACTGCTCCCCTTCTCCCAAAAACAACTTCTGTGTTTTGTGTGCGTGCATGTGGGCACGAGTGTGTGTATCCCCTTCCCAAGGATTTCTACACATCTATGCAAATATGAGCAAGTGGGTGTTTATAAAGCAGGAAACTCTTGAAACTCTTGTCTCATGACAAGAGTAACTTCATGCAAACCGTGCATAGTTAACTATATTGCCAAGAAGAAAGGACAATGGCACCTAAAGATTTTTCTTTAAAAAAAAATCACGAGACCCATAAAGTAGTTGAGTAGTTATGTAATAAATACTATAATTTTATGTTATACCTTAAAATAAAGTAAAACAAAGTAATAAAATAATGACACCTGTTCTGAAATGACACGTTTGTCATTTTCTAAAATTTTTTAAAATGTCATTTTGAAAATCACTCACTGGGCCTTTATTGCTTCATCTACAAAATTAAAATGTAGCACCTGTCTGCACTAATTTACTGGGCTTCTAGAAGTCCAAATGAGATGCCAAATATATACATGGACTCAGAAAGTCCCCAAACACCAGGTGTCATTGTGTTTTTTACCGCTGGCGTTCCATTCAGGAAGGTTCTCAAGTCTTTCAAGTTGCTGTCTGCCAACTTCCGAGTCTTTTCAATCTGGGTCCTCAGGTGGTGGTTCGCCACAAAGCCATAGATGATACCCACACTGCCAGAAATGGAAAAGAGAAGGAAGGACATTTATCACATGACATGTGGTCTTCTGGCCAGGCACAGAGCAGCTCTGCAGATACAAGGGGAGCTGGGTCCCACGTGGGACCCCCAGGACGGCCGGACCTTCCCCCACACCTGGCCCCCTCCCACGGCTGCAGCCTTTCTGCCAAGATCCCATAACCCAACATGTGGACCACAACATGGGACTCCGTCCTCTCACAGGAGACACAGAGCCATTTAATATATATTGTTCTGTTGAATATGAATCTTACAAATGGAACAATGTTCCCACTAAATGGTGGAGGGAACAAAAGGAGCAAGGCTCATAAGGCTGTGTATGCAACAGGGCGTCATTCCTGCACACTTGGGAATGCGGGTGCACACCGTCTTGCTCAGCACGCACACAAACACATCCTGCGTGCATACCTCTGCTCCCTTCAAAGAAGACGATCAGGAAAAATACCAAAATGATGAGGATGGTTTGGGCTTCCAAACATTTTTTGCTCCCTCTAATTGTCCTTATTACTTTTTTATTGTCCAGGTGAGTTACTTTGTGTTAAACTGACAAATGAGACGCTGCAAACAGTAGCACACACCCTGTATCAATCTATTTTGTATAATGTACAAAATCAAGAAACCAATGGTACTAAAAGTCAGTGTTTGTACTTGAGGAGGAGTGGCTGATGACATCATCGGTGTGCTCACATTATTCAGATTTGACGCCTACGTACTTATGATATGGAAACTCTTCACTACATAAAATATATTTCAATAAAGATTTTCAAAAACACTGTGAAAGGCATCTTGTATGACGTTATTCTACGTGAAAAATAAAAACACAGTTTCCAAACCATCTGAAATGTCTGCATTTGATCATTTTAAGGGCTCTCTTACTGTTAACTAGTTACTAAATTAATTTGACCAGTTGGTTTGTTTTTGTGTTAAAGCCTTCCAATGTTAAAATGTTACATTGAAAATTGCTAATTACCAAGGCCCTTCTGGATTCAGCCACTAGATGGCAGCAAGGAATCACCTAAACTTCTGACAACAGTATTTAACCTACAGAAATTAACGACAAAATTGTTCGTTTGTAACCATCCAATGGAAAGTGTGAATAGGTTCTAGAACAAAGTTTTGCAATTTAGACAAACTTACTCCCAGACAACTCCTCAGTCGGGAAATGGGGTTAGTCATTTGCCCTATTTCCAGTCATGGTTCATTCCAAGCTGCATTGGTTCATTGCTGGTCTCAAAACCTATTTTCCCATTGCAGTATTACATGGGTACATTAGGTTTTCCAAACTAATCAAAAAAAAGTCTGTAACACACACTCTTGAACAACAGTTCTTATGGTTAACAAGTTGCCATGGAATGGAATGTGACTTAAGGTAGGAACATAAGACGTGGATTCTAAACCCACTGTTGCCCCTGACTCACAAGGTGGGAGCTTGAGAAAGTCATTTTCCTTCTGTGAGCTTTGGCTGGTATTGCACAACTGAAAATTAAATTGGATAAGTACTTCTCGAACTGTAAAGGAGAGAGGTTACTGGATGTCCACAAGGTCTCCAAGAACTTTTTTACTTTATTTATTTTTAAAGATTTTATTTATTTATTTGGGAAAGACAGAGAACATGAGAGGGAGAGAGAGCAAAAGCAGGAGAGGGGTAGAGGGAGAAGCAGACTCCCCACTGAGTAGGGAGCCCGATGCAGGACGTGATCCCAGGACCTGAGCTGGAGGCAGATGCTTAACCCACTGAGCCACACAGGAGCCCCTCGAAGACCATTTGTTAAAATTTGGGTTCCCGTTGATAGTAATTAAAAAAAAAAAAAAAAAAAAAGGACATTAACAATAGTCTGTGCCATTTGGAACCACCACCTTACAATCCATCTTTGCCATTCTTAAGTCTGCTTTGGTATTTACTAGACAGTCAATATACCATAAAAATAATAGTTACTAAATGATGGGCTCATGAAGAATAAGGTCAAATGACTTTGGAGTAGTGTGTACAGAAGAGAAAAAGTTGGCTTGCAGCAATGCACCTGGAGCTTTATTTGCATTGCCCAATTTCAAACATTCCACCTCATGATGATTGAGGGCCACCACCTGAAGACACCTGCCCACCACAGCATTTCAAGCAGGGGGATCCCTTCCATTCTCTCTCCAGCCAGCCCATATTATCATTCATCATGCTCCAGATCCATTTTGTCACAGAAGAAGTCAAAATGAACTTGGAAAACAAACAACAGGTCTAAGTTTACTTGGCTTTCACTGAAGGGGAGAAGAACCTCCTTGCTTGAACTCTCAGAGGACTCTCCCTGAAATTCTGGTGGGCTATTCGAGGTAGCTCTATTTCTACCTATGCTTGATTTCCCTAGAAAGAGGGGGAAACTGCTTCTCTGTCAACTTTGGATAAATGATGGGTCTCTTGTCTATGATGGGTGCTCAATGAAAGTGAGTTTATGGACTAGGCTTTGTTTCATTTGATCCATTTAGAAGATTAGCCATATGTTTGAAGTGTCTAGTTCTTAACGGTCTTTGTTCCTTTACTGAATAAATGCCTTTACTCAAAAGATCACCAATCACTAAAATGAATTGCAATACAACTTTGTAATAAAACACTGAATTCCAGTGCAATGTATTTAAAAAGATCTACATTTCTGCCAATCCATTATGGATCCAATTAAAATGAAAGCATTGGTCTTTAAAAACAAAACAAAACAAAACAAAACAAAAAACACACACACTGCCCTAAACAGAATTCTGGAATAAAGCTCAAAAACTTTCAAAGCTAATTTTCAGACCTGTAATATATTGTAAGTCTTTTACTTAAATTAAGGATGGCTAATTCAAACACCTACATGGGCAGGCAGAAACTACAAAGGGCAAGCATATGGTATGAACCTCTGGGAGCTGAAGGTCACAGGTGGGAGTCAGGGCAGATGCTCTGTCCCACCATGATGCGAGACCAGTATTGCCAGATCTTCCAATTATTCACAAAAATCTGGAAATCTGGATTTTTTTAAAATAAAGTGCATATTTTCTTCTTCTTCTTCTCCTTCTTCTTCTTCTCCTCCTCTCCTTCTTCTTCTTCTCCTTCTTCTTCTTTTAAGATTTTATTTATTTATTTGACAAACAGAGATCACAAGCAGGCAGAGAGGCAGGCAGAGAGCTCCGCTGAGCAGAGAGCCCAATGCAGGCTCGATCCCAGGACCCTGGGATCATGACCTGAGCCGAAGGCAGCCGAACCCACTGAGCCACCCAGGCTCCCCTAGAAATCTGGATTTTTATGTAAAATTTTCCCTTTTGTCAACTAATAAGAAAAAAAACCTAAATACTATGCAAACTCCATTTGTGATCTCTAATTTAAAAATTTAAAAATCCCATTTGTTTATTTAAGGTTTATTTTATTTATCTTTTAGAGAGAGAGAGAGAGAGAGAGCATGTGCAAAGGTTGGGGGAGGGGCAGAGAGAGAGCGAAAGAATCCCAAGCTGACTTCCCCCTGAGATCATGACCTAAGCTGAAATCAAGAGTTAGATGCTTAAATGACTTGAGCCACTCAGGTGCCCTTTAAAACTCCTATTTAAACACAAATAGAGAATAAAGAAGTTACACGTTTGTTGACCTTGGTTTACATTACTCAATACAGTTTTGAAGCAAAAAAAAAAAAAAAATCACATGAATTAATTTTTTTTTTAACAACCATCAGTCAACTATTAGAATAAGAGAGAGTACTGAAGGAAATTTGCCTCACACAAAAAGGGAATAACATTTCAAGGACTATTAGCAATCTGGCATTTGATGTGTGTTTTTATTCAGTACAACAAAATCTCTTGAAACTTTTAGCCAAAGACAGGAATTTTAATTTTTATGGCGTATTAGTTTTACATCTTCTATATTTTATTATGGAGAGACAAATTTTCTCTCATATATACTTAAAAGTAAATATATATATATATATATGTATATATATATATATATATTTAGATATACATAAAAGTAAATATGTAAAGCTTTTGAAAACCTAAGGATAAACCTTTAAAATTTATAGCAATTTTTTCCCTACCAATTTCCACTGACTTAATGAAATTAGCCAATAAAAGCCAAATAAATGCTTTGTCTGTAACTGATCTCTTATTTTTTAAAGATAATTTTTTAATCTTATTATTAAATAACTATCCCCCTCTCATTCACATTAAGAAAGTCTCACGATTTTCAGGCATGCTAGCTCAGTTTCTATTCTAGAACCCTGTGGTCTCAAAGCCAGGAATTGACTATCACAATCCTAATACAAAAAATGAATTTTGAAAATAGTCATCTATATGGGATTCAATTTTCACCATGGCAATTGGCAAAAGCTGACTTACTGTACTCAGAAACTTAGAAATACACTGGAAAAATAAAGGTATGGCTGTTTGATCCTGTTTTGTTGTTGTCCATCACCTTTCTGGAATTCTGAAAAACGCAGTGATGACAAAGCACAAAGGAAAGAAAGGAGAGGAAACTTGGCTTTTTCTGGAGTCAGACACATCTGCTGGAACAGTGTACAGCAAGAAGTGGAAATTCAATCTTCTGCTGATGGTCAAACAGACTTACATAAACATATGTCAACATCTGTGAATTCAAACATTCCACTGTTGCCTTTGGAAAAGCTCAGAAAGGAACATGACCACATATATTCCATGTATATGAGGGGACCTTTCTCCTTAACACCTATGCCTTTCCCAATCAAAAACAAACAAATATACATTTAATTCGTTTCAAATTAAAAGAAGGATGGATGGAAAATAAGAGTACTCACATAGAAATCTTTGCTTTCCCCAGGACTGTAATCTTTTTGCCTAGTTTTTTGTTGTGGTTATTTTTTGTTTTTTTTTAGGGTTTTTTTTTTGTTTTGTTTTTGTTTTTTAAGATTTTGTTGATCTATTTGAGAGAGAGAGGGTGAGCATGAGTGCACTGGGGCAGAGGGAGAGGGAAGACAACCTGCTGAGCTTGGAGCCCAATGCTGGACTCTATCCCAGGACCGCTGAGATCATAACCTGAGCCGAAGGCAGAGCTTGAGTGACTGAGCCACTCTGGTGCCCCTCTTTTTGGCTAGTTTTGATTAGCTTGCAAATTCAATTCATCATGTCGAAAATACCTGCAAACCAAGGGAGGATTCAAAAGAAAGACATCATAATAGCTATTCCAAATTTACAAATGCAAGCCAAGAAGTTTAAACTTCTAGTGTGAGTTTAAGATAAACTAAACAACGTCAAATACTACTCTTATTTAAAGCTATTTATGATTCATATAGGAATTCAATATATTATTGTAAAATTTGTTTTAAATTGTCACTTAGCCTCAAATAGGTGACATTGAAATTTGAAGATGTGGTTTTTAAATTAATAAATTTTACTTGGGTGGGGAAACATTTTTTAATATAATTTTAAGGTTTTTATTTATTTATTTGTTTGACAAACAGAGAGACAGAGAGAGAAAGTAAGCACAAGCAGGGGGGAGCAGCAGGCAGTGGGAGAGGGAGAAGCAGGCCTCCTGCTGAGCAGGGACCCTGACGAGGGGCTTGATCCCAGGCCTCTGAGATCAAGACTTGAGCTGAAGGCCAATGCTTAACCAACTGAACCATCCAGGTGTCCTGCCCTGGGGAAATACACCCAAACTGAATGTAGAGAAGGCTATAGAGAATCACAGCCTGTCTTTTTTTAAAGAATTTTCTAAACTGAAATATCCCTGGGAGGAAAAAAAAAAAGAACTTATCTAAATTTATTTGATGGATCTGAGTTTTAAAGAATAAAAAAAAAAAAAAAACACAGTAGCATTCATTTTACATATAAATGAAAGCCAAGTTTATTTCTGACTTTGTAGCTTTATTGTTCACATATTTTGGTACTTTAAAAACTTTTTTAAAAGTTTCTATTTATTTATTTGAGAGAGAGAGAGCATGAGCGAGAGGAGGGATAAAGGGAGAGGGAGAAGCAGATGCCCCATTAAACAGGGAGCCCTGCACTGAGCCCCACCCAGGCTCAATCCCAGGGCCCTGAGATGACCTGAGCTAAAGTCAAATGATTAACCAACTGAGTCACCCAGGCATCCCAGTGGCATTTTAAGCATAATGTAAATAATTCAAACAGTTCAGGGTGAAATATAACACACATGGCACATAGTTAGACAAAATGTAAGTATTTTCAGTTCCAATTTAAAAATAGGAACCCCCCCAAAATAGGAACCCAATATACAATATATGCTTGATTTAAAAAAAAAATGAAAAGTCTATTATTACATATGTAAACATAAATTTGGGTAAATATGTAACTACATACAACAAAGAATTTTCCTGAAATTATAGCAAATGTATTTATATCAAGCAAAAACTACTAACTTACTGAATAAGTAATCACATTAACAAAAAGCCCTAAGGGCAAGTATTTTCAGATGACATTTTATCACCTGAGCCTCATCTTTGCTGTCCAGACTGTCTCTCTAGAGAGGGAGAGGCATGGCACTCCAAGTCTCTGGATGAATGAAAGATGGAAGTTTTAGGTTTAAAAGAAATGCGCAGACATCTCTGCTGGGTCTGACAGGTCTTTGGACTGCAACTGACACTTTTCAGGTAGGTGGAGAGGAGGTAACCACTCCCACAGCTGGAGTGCGGTCTGGGCATTCCTAAAAGTCTTTCAAACACAAAGCAGAGAGACAGGGACTTCTGAAATTACTATTGACATGATCTCAAGCTGCTTTTCAGAATTTAATGGGCAGGAACAGATTCAAATTATTCACAAAGAAAGCGTTGGAGAGACAGAGAAGAGAAAAGAGAAAAACCCTCCCTGATGGTCAAACAAGGGTGCATGAAATTAGCAACCCATGCACGTGGGTCCAGTTTGCACCTAGACTGTTAAGTTCTATTATTTAACTATTTCCAGAAGAAGCATGCCTTTAAAAAGAAAGAAAGAAAGAAAGAAAGAAAGAAAGAAAGAAAGAAAGAAAGAAAGAAAGAAAGAAGAAAGAAAGAAAAAGAAAAGAAAAGAAAAGAAAGAAAGATTGTCTTGGAATCAGTGGTAATGCACAGGCTTTTGCTTTTGGGGGAGATTTTTTTTGGTTGGTTAAGTTTGATTTTTGATGCACTGAATTCAGTAGGTAATATCTGAGCATGGTAGATAATTCCAAAGAGACAAAATGTCTATCTGCAGCGAGAAGTGATTTCCTTTCTACCCTCCACAACCAATAAATTGCCTTCCCAGAGCCCACCACTGCTGCCTACTACTTATGTTCTAGGCAAATATAACCAAATGTCTGGGTCCCTCTCCTTTTTTATTTTGGTCTTAGGGGCCATGTTCCATACACAATCTGCGAGCTGCTTCTCTCAATTCATCTCTCCTGGGGACTGATTCATATCAGCACGTGTGGAGTACTTCCCATCCCTTCCAATAGGTATAGCCCATTCTGATGAATGATCACCCCACAGCATGCGTACTACCAGGACCCTGCTAATGACCACGCTTGCAGAACTTTTCTTCTTGGATTTCCAGCTAAAACTTTAGCTGGTAGGCCAGCTGAAATCGTTCTGCTTAATTTTGTTCAATTTCTATTTAATTCTGAATTCTGCTTAAATTCCCTTATATCAGTTATTTAGCAAAACCCGACAAATCTTACAGCTACGGAGCAAAAGCAGTGCTTGGAGAAAAGAGCGATGAGGAGGCGGACTTCTGGTCCTCCTGTCTCTGCGTCTCCTTGGGACCTAGCATTATTCACATCGTGGGCACTTTTATTGCTGTCGCTAAATGTCAGGACATTCATGGGCTGAATGAATGAGAAGATGTGGAAGCACATCTCCTGTGACCAAATATCACAACCAGGGGGCCAGGAATGTGAAACTCGCTCAGCCGAGGATTCTGATTTGCACTTGGTGAAATGTTACTGTCTTTTTCCTTTCCTTTCCTCCCCTCCCCTCCCCTCCCCTCCTCTCTCCTCTCCTCTCCTCTCCTCTCCTCTCCTCTCCTCTCTTACTCTCCCCTCCCCTCCCCTTCTTTTCCTTCCCTTCCCCTCTCTTCTCCTTTCCTTTCTTTCTTTCTTCTTCTTGTTTTTTTTTTAATTTATTTACTTGTCTCATATTTAGAGAGTGAGGTGGAGGGGGAGAGGAAGAGAGGGTCCTAAGCAGGCACTGTCCTGAGTGTGGAGCCTGACGCAGGGCTCAATCTCACCACCAACCCTGAGATCATGACCTGAGCAGGACATGGGGAGATGGAGAGGAGAAGGGAATTGAGGGAAATTGGAAGGGGAGGTAACCATGAGAGACTATGGACTCTGAAAAACAACCTGAGGGTTTTGAAGGGGCAGGGGGTGGGAGGTTGGGGAAGCCAGGTGGTGGGTATTAAGGAGGGCACGTATTGCATGGAGCACTGGGTGTGGTGCAAAAGCAATGAATACTGTTACACTGAAAAGAAATAATAATAAAAAAAAAGTATGTTATATTGCAATAAATAGTAAAATTAAAAAAAAAAAAAAGAAAGAAAGAAACCTAGAGTCGGACTCTTAACCGACTGTGCCACACGGGCGCCCCCAGAAGGCTGGTGTCTTAAAAGCAGTGTACTTCTGATCTGTCAGCCAATTGGAAAACTTGTGGCCGCAGAAGGACCTGCAGAAGAAACATTCTAAATCATGAAGCGTGTTCTATGCTTCGGGAGAGGGCAGCAGCTTAACTGCAAATTCAAGAAAACTGGGTTTTATTATTAGAAAGTTAATTCTATTCTGCAACATTCACACATTCCCCAGTTTGGGGACTATACCTATCCTTCAAGATCCCTTTTGAATGTACAAACCAACTAGGAAATGCTCTGCCTTCTGCAGGCCTCCTGTCTCCCAACAGCTATTTCAGGCAGGAGCTGCTGCTCTGGGAGGGAAATACTTCGTGCAGGCCAAGATTCATCAGCTTGTTTTCGGGAGGAAAAAATACCAAAGGGTTGGCTTAGCATGTAAATGAAGGCAGCCTGATTGTAACACTAACTTCGGGTTATGGTGACACTGTTTCGAACCATCCTGCACACGCATTTTTGTTCTCTTCTGTTTTATGGGTGTGTTGTTGTTGTCCTTGTTGTTTTGCTTTAAACTCGTGGGTTTACCAGCTGAGACATGGGATATTCCTCACCCACCCAAAACATAAATCCGCTGTCCTCCAAGATGCTACTTGCCTTATGAATATACAAATCACCAGGAGGGAGACTGTAAAGTATTTTCTCAGGAAGGTCCCGTTTTTCTTCTGCCGCTGATGCATTTCTCCACCACACTTGTTACAGCAACGGCACAGACCAAAGCAAAACCCCACCAGAGGCATCAGAAAGACAAAGAGCAGTCCCAGGACAGCACAAATAATAATCCCGATTTCATAGTAGATAATCTGTAGATCAAACAAAAGAAACAGCATATACCATGATACAAAATAACACGTAGAACATTCCATAGTGTGCAGGTTACATTTGTTTAACCTATTTGATACCATGAGTTGAATCTTCGTGTGTGCATGTGCGTATTTCCATCTTGATCCTCCTTTCTTTCTTTTTCTTTTTTTAAGAGGGACGGGCATGGGGGGAGGGAGAGAATCTTAAGCAGGCTCCACGCCTAACGTATGGAGCCTGATGCAGGGCTCGATCTCACGACCCTGAGATCATGACCTGAGCTGAAATCAAGAGTTGGATGCTTAACTGACTGAGCCACCCTATAGTCCCTTGATGCCCTTCCTTGAAACAGAGGAAGACAGATTTGAGTTATCAGAATATGGAATCAAGTAGTTACTATATTCTTCCAACTCACAGTAAAATGTCCAAATGCAGGGTCAAATTGCAAACGGCTGAATTTAAACCCCAAAGGTCATTGGGTACATTACAGATAACGTATGATCAGTGACAATGGGCGAAGTGAAGAATGTGGTCTTTGTAAAGTGGTACCTCTCCTGCCATGCGGGTACAGCTGGCCTCAGTAGCCCGTGTCTCAGATAGTCCTATGTTCCTAGGAACTAGAGCAACTTTGAGATAGAATAATGTGACCTAAATGTATTTTCATAATCACTGCTAGGGCTGTATTCTGGGATGAAAAAAAAATTAATGCAACCAGATGACACAAAACTTGAGTTTATTCCAATGCATGTATATAGTTACTCAAATTTCCACAAAGCAAGACATTTTTAACGAATGACAATTACAGATTGGCTGTTTGTGACTAACAGACCAGTTAGCTAGCAACAGATTCTGAAGCCACGCTGAACAAAGTAAACAAAACACGGGTGTTGCTCCTAGAAGCAAACATGAGGTCTTAGCACTGAACCGGGAGTCAGAAGACCTGCTTTAAATTCCAGCAGGGCGCTTCTAGTTCCCTAGTCCAGAATTAGCATTAACATCATGAACAGAATTGTGAGGGTCAGATAATTAGATGATTCAAAGTGAAAACAACAGCCAAGTGACGGCACACAATGAATAGTCAATCAATATTCGTTAACTCTGTGGGCAAATGCCTCAGAGTACTGAGGTACATGTGGCCCTTGAATATTAATTGAATATCCCTTGATATTAAGGATAAAATACTTTAAAAAAAGGTGGTTGAATTTTGCTGCATTCATTCTGCTTAAACTAAGACGCACTCCACAGCCACAGACAGTCCTGTAATGGCCCTTGGGAATGCACATCATTGGCCAATTGAGAACCTAGCCTCAGACACCCCAAACTCTTCTCAATTTCCCTATCATTTCCCAGCAAATGTTCCAAATCATTTACTATTTTTCAAAGGGATTTGAAATCCTTTCTAAATCCCAGGAGACACTGAACCCAAACCCAGGAAAGAAGGTGATTTGAAATGTTCTAAATGCACTGTGTTTAGTTCCAAGTACAAATTTCACATTTTATATTCTACCTTTGCAATGCTACTGGCTCAATATTATGTCCAAAAGTATCAGGAACAAGATATGTCATTTCAAGAGTTCCCTTCTGGGCTGAAGTCTGGCTAAGGTCTGGCAAGGACCTAAGTGACTTCCTGATACACAAGGACCTCCAGAACGCTCTGTGGACTGTGTGGAGCAGAAGCTCAAGGTTGAAATGTACCGAGATGGGTCGCTATTCTTTGGTGAAGTACTCAAACTGAAAGATTAGGTTAACAACGACTGCATTAACAAAAAAAGAAACAAGCCACTTTAAAAACCATCACAGTGGAGAGACAGTGAAGAACAGAGAGTTCTGGAGGAAACATCTCATTACCGGCTGGCTTTAGACAGAGCAACGAGAAACAGCAAACAAGAACTTTACCTTCAGAGTCAAGACTACATTTTCTGGCTGTGGAAGTCAAAGCAGTTGAGGAGTTGAGGAGAGTAAGGCAGAGGCAGCATGCGTCAAGAGAACAGAAAAAGTTACATGAGTGATTAACCACAACGGGGAACGTTAATACTCCATACAGAGAAAATCAAGTGAGAGGAGGATCCCCAAAAGACAGGAACATAAAACTTGAGTGTTTATTAGAGAAACAGCCTTGAGGTTGACTTAGGTCTGGAATTTACACCTGAAATTTATATTTGGATTTCTTGAAAGGGTCTTAACAATATGCTAATCAGTTGTGGACAGTGGAGGTAGGGAATTGGAGGGAAAGCTACACATGCTTAACACACTAACTGCCTGGTCTTTGCACAACAGGGGATCAGCAGCTGCTTAGAACCCCAGCGAAAGCAATGGCTTCCAAAGTGTCCTTTCTGAACTGAAAATCTGATGGTGTCATCCTCTTGCTCAACAGCATTCCAAGGATTCCTACCATGTTTCATTCAAACCTCTTAATGTGATCCTGTAACTTAATCCCGGCTTCATGTCCTGTTCTTCATACCATTCAGTTCCTAGGAAGAAGCCTCACGCTCCCCCTTCCTCCCTCCAGCTCCCCTGTGCTGCCTCCTCACCCAGAACATTATTCCCTTCACCTCTCTGCTCACGAAACTCAAGTCAGCCTGGATGTGGCGTCCTCCTGGAAATCTGTCTTGAGAACCAAGTCTGGGTTTGCTTTCTTCCCTGCTTCCTGCTGCCTTGGAGCCCACACTTGCCCTTTGCCAGCACGTGCCCCACGTGGAAGGACTCTCCCATGGAAGCACACTGCCCAAGCCGTACTGTTTGTCCAGAGAGAACAAGATCCATGACGTCACTCTCACCATTGTCTCTCAAGCGCCTACCCAGGGACTTGGCATGCAAATGGTGCCCCACTGGAATCAGGTAACCTGATGAATGGAGTGAGGGTGTTCTCTAAATGGTGGTCCAGAGATAGGGCTGGACCGCCCCACAGTGAAATACGACAATGAGGATATAGTAAGTTTCCCATGAAATGGGATTTGCTCAATGTATCCTTTTGGTGGGGAGAGGGAGATGATAGCATATGAAAGGGGACAAAGTTAATATCGTTGCTATGGCATTTTAAATATCCTTGTGTGGCAAAATAAAATTGGGTGGCTCTATGTCACTTTTTTGGAAATTGTGTGCTCTAGGAAATCGAGAAGTTTAGGAACTATAGCTTTGGATGGCAGATTTTCACAGATGTGAAGGAACGATGACTGTGATATTAGTAACTTTTAAATGAGGCATCCAGCATGTTGGGGTGGGCAGCTCGGAGGCACATGCCCCCAGGGTCACATGGGGCATCCTGAATGACCCTGGGCATGGCCCCCACAGGCTCGTTGTCTCCCAAACCTACCATAAGTACTTCATAGCACATGTTCAAAACACTGGCTTTCAGCTCCTCCCCTAGAGTGGGTATCAGGAGACTTGGGTAAACCCAGCCATCAGTCTTGAAAGCAAGCCCCGAGTCATGGCTACGATCAGGTGGGTTTCAGAAACCTGCTCTCACCTCTAAGGTTGGTCATGCTGAGCTGAGGCCCCTGGGCAGAACCACCTGTAAGTTACAACAATCAGCTGATCCTTTTGCATTTACCCACCTACCCCACTGAGGGATAGGTCTGGTCTGATATATCTGATGGGCTACCAGCAAACCCCACAGTGGAGCTGGGTTCGTCACTACCTCTTCCCCATCCATGCTGGCTGTCACTCAGGTATAAAGTTATTTTCATGCAATGCAGCAGTCTGAATCCCTCTGTGCCACATTATGTCTGTGATTCCCCACTCCAGTTAATTACCCATATCGTCACCGGGGGCCTTTTCAAAAATATCAATAACCAGCCAGCCCTGGTCTAGGGGACGGGCCTAGACCTTGTTGCCAACGCTACTCTGAGCGTTCGTTACCTTACTGACAGAACAGGGATAAGCAGAGATATTATTTTATGCAGTTTTGCAAAGAGAACAAGAGAAAACAGTGAGCAGTAACACATTTTGTGCATTATTTTGTTCTAAGCGCTTTACATATACTGTGTAATGTATGTTAAATGAGGTAATACATTGAAGTGCTTAGGACCAGGTTTCCCAGCATAACGCTCAATCAGTCATCATTATCACCATCATCATCAGAAGAAGTAGAGATAATGCATGTTAACACTATTCTCATCTCTCACCTCCAACAAACCTCAGACCATGATCCAAGTCATGGACTATCTCACACTGCCTGCTCTCTTAAATGCTACTGAGATCCCCAGAAAGTATGTCCCTTACTTGGAAAGGAGAGTGTGTTCTGACCACGTCACCTGGGGGGCGGGAAACAAGGAACTCATTCACTTAGCTTTCCCAGACATGTAGAGTAGTAGTGTGGGTTACCACACACCCACTGGAATGATAGACCCGCCATTTCCTAAGTGCCAAATTGATATCCAATGACTGTTAACACTAGTGAGGTCATGGAAGTCAGCAGGGATGGGGCCCAGGCCCAGCACCTGCCCCCAGAGGAAGCTTCTAGAAAGGGAAAGGTAATAACTGAGGAATGACATGAATGAGGAAGGGCAGCCAACCAAGAGGCTGGAATGGAGAGGGACCATGACCACAAGGAATCGAACCCAGGAGGTCATCCCAAAGAAGCTGGCCACTCCTATGGACAGGGATGCACAGAATGGAAAGTCAGAGGTGGTGGCAGGGGTCGGGGGGGACGGGAGGCGGGGAAGGTACTGGGAGACCTGTCCCCTGGAAAGGTTTCTAGAGGGTAGGTGGCACTTAGGGCTTGTTGGGGGGAACCAATGTAATCATCTACCTAAATTGCCCCCAAACGATGCATTCTTTGAAGATGGGAACTGTGTCCTTTCCTTCAGTTGAGGAGCCACTGCTTGACAAGCTCGGCTGAGAGGCTCTCTCTTCAGAAAGCCCATGTGAGCTGGGAGGAGGGTGACGGTATGCTGTTTCCCTTGGTTTTCAGTCAGCCAGAGACTCTGGGAAGGGGCTCACCCACACGCTGGTCCCCGAGGGAACGCACTCAGGAGCGAGTTGCCCATGTAATCTCTACCTAGACCCCTGTGGTGAGGACAGACTATTCTTGGGAAGACCAAACTGAGTAATACTTGTAAGTCATGAACAAGGGCACCCACCTCTGAGCACATGCTATAGATGTGCTAGGAGCCTGGGGTTATTGGAGTCATTGCTTGGATTTCCATAGCTCCATCTGCCTGATTCTCAACTTCCCTCTTGGCTCCATAATTCCAAATTCTATTCCTCTCCCAGATTTCCATTTCCGCCCGACCACTTTTTCCCAGGGATGATTACCCACCATCACAGTCTGGCTTAATAGGTAGAAGGCACAGCTTGGAGGCTGTCAGTCTCTCCATACAGCCCAGAATACTCACATGAACTGTGTCTTCCAGACTAGTCACTTTAGGACTACAGTCCAGTGGCCAGATTGAGCCTACTTTTTGTTGGTGGTGTGCTTGTCAGTTCGGAGTTAGACTCATCTGGGTACAAATCCCAGTTTCAGCATTTAGTCCCTGGGTGACCTTGGGCAAGTCCCCCAGCCTGAGTTCAGGATTTTCTTGCATGCACCATGCACAGACACCTCTGCCTCGGATCAGTGTCATTGTGAGGATTAGAAACAATGTCAGGCTTCTAAACCAGTGTCGGCCCAGGTGGACAAGAATTAGTATTACAGACAGGGCGATGACCTAGTCTACACTTCAGAACCAACGAAGCAGCTTTGTGCTGCGAGCCAAGTGCTCATAACTGGAATTAAGGCTGTATTTCTCATCTACTCCACCTGCCTTGACATCTCGGTTCAAATGCCAACTCTCCCGTGGCGTCTTTTCCTGATTTCCCAGGGACAACAACAATTCCCTTTCTCTGAATGTTCATGTCCTTTATCAGAACTTCTCATGTGATGCGAATCTCCCTCCATCTCACAGTCCAGCTGTCGACGGCATTAGTCTGCTGGGGCCGCCATGACATAGTGCCACAGGCCAGAGGGCTTAAACAACAGAAAGGTATTTCTTCACAGGCCTGGGGGCTGGGAGTCTGTGATCAAGGTGTGGGCAGGGTTGGTGTCTTCTGAGGCCTCTCTCCTTGGCTTGCAAATGGCTGTCTTCTCCCTGTGTCTTTATGTGTTTTTTTCTGTGTGTATATGTGTGTATGTCCTAGTCTCCTCTTCTTTCAAGGATACCAGTCAGACTGGATTAGGACCCACGAACAACCCCATTTTAAGTTAATTACCCATTTAACAACGTTATCTCTAAATACAATCCCACTCTGAGGCGCTGGGGATTAGGATCTAAGCTTATGAATCGGGGGCACAATCAGCCCATAACATCCGTGTTTATTTCTTGTCCCATATCAACTGTGAGTTGGAGGAGTGAAGGCTGTACTTTCACATGTTTGTCCCCCTACTATGCCTCGTTCCTAGTCAGCATTCTGTCAACAGAGATAAAATGAATACATAAAACAAAAGAGAGTATTTTTTAAAAATGTGGAGGAGGAGAGGGGCCGAGGATCTTAAAGCTCTACCTTTAGCTTTCAGTTGAAGTGTAAAAAGGAGGCAGTTCCATGAAAGTCCTAGTTCCCTTTCAAAGTCAGGCCCAGCCCTTGGAACAAAAGGTCTGCTGAACGCTTCTGGAGCTCCTTATGAAGAGAGTTCACTAAAAGAGCACCCAGCCCGAAGGTCAATGCCGCAGTGGCTCCACGGTCATCTGAGGGCTCACCAGAGGAGGAAATGCTGGCTCAGCACTAAGAAAGCTGAGAACACTCCTCAGAGCCACTCACCTGGCCAGACCTTACCTGTGTGACTGCGTGAATCAGAGACCCCGTGGGCACCTGTCAGTGCAGAAGACGCTGTTGGTGCCCCCCACCTCCCTCAGGCCTCAGTCATCCCCCTGGGCCTCCTCAAACTTCTAGCTACTGCCATCTTTAACTCTGCGCCTGAAGGCCTTTTATGGAACCAGGGCAGGTCAGAAGTGCTTACGGATGAACCCTCTCCTCCCGTAACCTGTGACCCTTCAGTCTCGGCGTCTGGACGCCTCAGCTCCCTCATCCTAACAGTGGACTAATTCGGACACTGGTGGTTTGCAACGTTTCCCCAGCAATTCTATAGGATCACGCTTCAGTCACCCCTTGTGGCAGGTGGCGTCAGGCCACACTCTTTACGGCTGCCCTCCCTCCCTTGTATTATTCTCTAATTCCCAGCCAGTGTTCCCTGCACCTCCCAAACAATTGGCTTGTCCTTGACTCCTGCTCTGCTTGGGAGGACTCCAACCCAACACGCTCAGCATACATCAGACTAAACCACTCACACAAGGTGCCTGGCTTCCCTGGGGTCTTCACCTCACCAGATCCCTCTTCCTTGGACAACCATGGAAAACATGACCCGGATTCAGGTCATTCATGAGGGCTCAGTTCTGTCTCCTCTCTCCACTTCACCCAGATGCCAGTGGTTTTTGTTCATCTACAAAGACACCTGAGGCGGAGAGGAAATCAGCCACTAGGGAGATACCAGTTTTATAGGACATCCAGTCGAATACCAAGCCCACCATAAGGGACCTGCCCAGCTAAGAATCCTGCCATGGAGAGCGGCAGCGAAACACTGGCAAGCAGGGCTTCTCAGAGTCACCTCAGGGTCTCAGGACCCCATCCTCCAAGGCCTGGAACAGGTGAAGCATGCTACCCAAGCCCATGCCTTGGCAGAACCAGTTGGCATTCAGGCCAGGCTGCTGCTGGCACGAAAGCTGTCCACACTCACTTTGTTTTGCCCAGGAATGCGGGCAGACCCAGGCAATCCTGTTCGGGACACACATGAGGCCCGCGGCATTTAATAATGAAAATGTTTTCTACGGTCCTAGGGAAGGCCGTGAGCACTGTAGAGAAACTGGCTCCTCAGCTTTTATACATGTAAATGTTTTTTAGATAAGGCTTTCCTCTTTGGCTTCTGTGTTTGCTTTCTCTTGAGTATCATTTTATTGCAAATTGAGAAGAGGAGGCCTGGTAACCACAGCACCTGCGGTTCATTCACCGGGCAGGAGTCCCGCGCCCTCCCCATACACCGCCCCCCACACCCACCGGGAACACCGTCATCCGCGTTTGCTGTGGCTGGCGCTTCAAGAACGTCCACCATGTGTCTGCTTTTATTGTTCTCTTGATAACCACCTTCGTGCCAGGGAAGGAGAGAGCAACGGGACAAAGAGCCTGACAAATGGATTCAACTATTTTCTTTCTTTCTTTTTTTTTTTTTCAATTACCCTAACATTCAACGCAACAAACATTTGTCTATTTCACTGGCAACCCCACACTCACAGTAAACTAAAATCAAAAGAATACACTCTTCTGTTTAGGTAGTTGATTGCAGATGCAAACGGAGTGAATGGGCGATGCAGCGCCTCGGTATTAAGTAGAGACCCACAAGGTCCTTAATATGGTCCGCTTGTGAGCATTCAGGGTCCCGCTCACCTCTCCTTCCTCTCCAATCCTTCACGCCTTGTCCTGGTGGCTCACCTGGTCCCCAAAGCCTGAGATGCCAGCAAAGGTCCCTCTGCACCTGCTGCAACCCTGCTTAGTATCCTTTTTACCACAAGCCCCCCAATCACCTCCTTGTGGAAGAGCTTCCAGTCAGATTTAATTACTTTCATCTACGTTCCTCTGCATATTACATATAAATCTACTTATTTCCTTCTTCTCTTTCTTCTTCCTTTAACAATGAGGTACTATCTCTGCCATCTGGCTCTTCATCTCCTGAGACCAAGGGCTGTTTTCCTTAACTCTAGCCGGGGTAAGTGCACACACAGAGCTCTCAATGAACCTGCTCAAATGTGAAGATGCTTTTCAACAAACTGTATTTTTAAAACAAAGTACACATCCCTGTTTCTAGAAATGCTCAAACAATTCTACTTAGTTAGGGAGTTCCTCTCCCTTAGCTAAAAAAGTACCATAGTACTTCCCTTAAGGAAATTTGGGTTTTTAAATAACATATACCTTGAAAGGTGAATGTTTCTTCAAATCCTCCTTTTGGAGTTTCTGCTGCAGTTCAAATGGGATTTATAAAGTGCTTTAATATTTCATAAAATTTCTTAGTTAAAAAAAAAAAAACTCTACAAATTTCACAGGTTAACTGATTGTTTAAAGATTTACTTCCAAGTCAGCCAAAATTTTGTACATACTTATTTTCCTAACAAATATACCAATAAAAATTACCTTCTCATACTCAGTTGAGAAGTCGAACTTCTTTTGTAGAATTTTTCTTAAAATATCTGTGGGAAAAAGCCGCAAAAGAAGAGCAAGGTTACTTTTTCAGTAAAAACACAAAATGCATATTTAGGAAATAAAGTCTATATATACTCACAAAGTATTGTACCTCTCTCTATGTAGTAGTCTTATAATTTTATTCCTATTTATTTTAGACAGAGAGAGAGAATGCATAAGCAGGAGGAGGGACAGAGGGAGAGAGGGGGAGAGACTCTCCTAGCAGACTCCCTGCTGAGTGGGGAGCCCAATTTGATGGGGAGCTCCATCCCAGGATCCTGAGATCATGACCTGAGACAAAATCAAGAGTCAGATGCTCAACCAACTGAGCCACCTGGGCACCCCAATTTTATTCCTATTTCTTAATGTAGGTAAATAACTGAGCTAATGAGGCTCTAACCAGAAGCAAAGAATGGAAGACAAGTATTTTTGACTCACTATTTTGTCAGTGGCAGAATTAGAGGGTTGCCATTTTTAAGAGTTTTCAATTTCTCACAAGACACCTTAATATTCGCCAACATACATGTCATTAATAATCCCTGATAACACGTGACACAAACTGCTCACTGTTAATTTTTGGAACCACAAATGCAACTTATTCTCTAATCATTCCATATTTATGTAATATTTTACAAATAAAAGGAATCTTATAATTGACTTAATCCAGAGTTCTTCACATGAAACATCCCTCCCTTCCCATCCCCAAACAGCACATGAAAACGTGAAATAATACGCAAAATGGGATTTTTTCCCCCCTACATTTGGGACAATTTCAAATTCTTACATAGGTCAAGATTCACCTCTTATTCTGACCCACCAATCCAGTCATGCTGCAACTGGGGATTGGCCAGAGAGAGTAACTTGTCTAAAATCTGTGATGTGTAAGACCAAGCCCAAGTGGGTCTTCCCTTCTCTGCCCTGCGGTACTTCCCACACTCCACACTATAACTGACCCCACCAATGAACTTCTACAATGCTCTGGCTGTACCATGCTAACCACTTCTAAAGTATACGGCAAGGGAGGAAAGGAATCCCTGTTGTGAATCCTTTTATAAAACAAGAAGTTCAGGTTTACACGCCAGGAAACAGCAAGCCACATACCCACAGGGCTTTCTGGAAAACAACTTCAACCTGCGCAGAGCAGACTAAATGCAGCAGGTCTTTAAAGAGTGTGCTATAGGAGCAGGGATCAAACCGGAAATTTTGGGATGCCTACACTAAGCCTAGAGTACTGGGAACCCCAGTTATCTCTCCAAGGGACATCAGGGCTGCCCACCCCCACAGATCTCCTCGCACTTTGAACTAGTCACTTCACTTTGATTTGTTTTTAAGATTTATTTATTTGAGAGAGAAAGAGAGAGCTCAGAGGGAGGGGAGCAGAGGGAGAGGGAGAATCAGGGAGAGCAGACTCCCTGTTGGTCATGAAACCCCACACTCAGGGCTCCATCCCAGGACCCTGAGATCATGACCTGAGTGGAAATCAAGAGTCAGCTGCTCAACCGACAGACTGCTTATTTTATAGACTAGGCTTCTGTTCTAGATTTCATTGAATGTAAGGGTCCACTGATGGTTTTTTTTAATTGGAAATCATCCATTTATTAAAATATATTTAATGACACAGGTGACATTCACGTGTTGTCTTTGGGGATCCTGATCTAACTAAGAGTTGGGATGGAGACCAAACTCCATTATCTTCTGGGTATCTAATCTTGGGTGAAGAATTAAAAGCCAGGAGCATTCTCATCAGCAAATCAGGATGACATCAGTCCCCACCCTCGAAGGATTCCTTCGGGCCAAGTGAGAGAAATGAGATTACATTAGTCTGGCCACACAGTACCCATCCACTTTTCTCATCTTTATAAAACCAATTCAACCAACCCAAATGAAAACGAGATATCTTCAGGGGAGCTGGTCCCTCCGTCCCTCTCAGGTCACACTGACCAGGGAAGTGGCCCCAGAGAGACGTATCCTCACTGGCTTATGTGGGCAGATCTGCACATGTGGCCCGTAAAACCCCCGGAATCCTGGAATCCTCAAGGTCTGCTCAGGGTTCTCATGAGGTGGAAGCAGAAGATGTTATTTGCCGTTTCACCGTGTTGGCATTTGTACTCAGGGTACAGAAGCGATGGTGGAGAAGGCTGTGTGATTTGGCACGAGTCACACAGTGTTCATTGCGTTCTATGCTGCCATGAACTCGAGGAAGATAGAAAGCCCAGTTACACAACAGAAGAATCTTGGTGAAGCATTTCAAAATCATGATTTTATCAGATAACCTCTGAGGAACCATCTTTCTAGTATTCTGTGTGAAGAAACAAAAGATTACATAAGGTGCTCCTGCTACACACCCCGGTACCCAGCTGTCTTCAGAGAGAGCACGGGGTCCTCGTTTTGAGTTAGGAGCTAAACCCCTCACAGAACATTGTTTTTGCTCCAAAGAAAGACAAGCCATGGTTATCCAGGCTTAAGTATCTCGTAGACATTTTCTCTAACATGGAGGAAGTGGAGCCCGCAACTTCAAGAAAGCGGCTGACAGCACTTGCTGCCAGTGATAAAATTAGAGCACTGCAGCAGAAATTAGAATTTTGCAAAATTTGTATCTGTGTGGTTGACAGACGCGGGATTTTGCCACATCGTTCTCACTCCACCTTAACAGGTTCTGTCAATTACAGGTGTAGCAGGTGCTTCCCTAAAGAGCTCCGTGGAGGCAGGCAAATGTGACATACATAGACCAGGTGTTGGCTACAGACTCAGTGAGAGAGTGACAGTCTTCCACTGTCCAACAGACGATGCCATCAGCTCTCTGGAGGACTGACTCTCCCAAGTTCCTGGGATCCTGGTGGTCCCAGGTGTTGGGGAATGGTCCCAGCTACACCAACGGCACTCCTTACTGACAGCTCACCCCAGTCCTTTGTCTGCCAGCTGGCTCTGTCTCTCTGCTAAAGCAGATCCTTGCTGCAAGGGCCAAAAATCCATCCGAGGCTTTGGAGCAGGGATGTTCTCCCTCCCCCTGCTTTAGAACAGCACTGCCTAAGAGAAATCTACTGCAAGCCATACAAGTCATTTCAAATCTCCTATTAGCCACATTTAAAAATTAAGAAAAAAAAGGGTGATTATTTTAAATTAATTTTAATAATCTGTTGTACTTAATCCAGATACATGCAATATTTTGTCATTCCTACATGCAATCAATATACAAATATTAATCTGCTACTCTACAGTCTTCTTTTTACACTAAGTGTTCAGGGTCTGGTGTAGATGCTCATCAGTACATCTTAGGTCAGGTTAGCTACCGTTCAAGTGCTCAGTGGCCACATGCGGCTGTGGCCTCCCTACTGGATGGCATGGGGTCAGAAGCTAGTCATCCACCTTGGAGAGATTCCATTTTACCCAAAGCATCAAGGCCTCTGTCCTTTTCCTTAACCCCCCTCCCTCCCAGTGCACGCTGTCACGAGAACACAAAATGAGCATCCACAATATCCATGTTCCCTTTGCCTTCCCTGTGTATCTCTAAGTGGCTCTTCTTAACCCAGGTAAATGAACTTGGGAAAGGCTTGGAGTATACAGCCCAGCGTCTTTGTCTGTAGGGCTCTGGCATTAATGCTGCTGCTCACACCTCATGTGGGAACTCATGAAGCCCCACATTGCTGGTGAGAACCTTGAATTGATTGTGGTCCATCTCAGAAAGCATAACCCCAGGAAGACCCGGGGTCCCACTTATGCTTCCTGAGCCCCCACCATCCTTGCTTGGTGATCTGCTGTTCTGCAATCCTTTGTGTTTGCCTGTGTCTTCCTGGCCAGCTCGTTAAAGGTTTCCAGTGGAGACCATCTTGACCTCTGTTCCCGGGCTTCAGAACTGTTTGTGGTATTGATGCTGCATAAATGTAACATTATCATAAAGAGTGTTGTTTCCTTTCCATAGATCAGATGGGATCCCCGAAGGCTGTGATTAGTTCCTGGTATTGCCTGGTGAACGAGATAGCCATTAGCATTTGGGCTACCACAGTGTTATCCTGCTCTCCATGAGACCTCAATGTGGACAACAGTGGCCACCTTATCCTTCTTGAACTGAAGGAAGGTCTGCTCTGACGGAACGTGATAGGCACTTAGCATGGGACAGACAACTCCCAGAGTCCAGGGAAAGATTTTCCCTGCCCTGAAGTTGGGGAGGTATCTGGCCACCTTTCCCATGTGGCAATTTATTTTCCATCACACAAATCTCAAGCTCTTTACACAAAGTAACAGTTGCCTGTTAAGATACTGGAGTATCTTCCCTCCCGGGAAATATGGGAGCCAATGAACAAGGAAGTTCTTTTCATGGTAGAACACTGTCTCTCATTTTCTGTCTCATGAAGGAGTTCTGTGAGTCTTTCCACAAGGATGGTGGCTATCAGTCTCTCTTCATTCAATGCTTAGATGGAACAAGGTCTTCTTATCTGGGACTTACTTTTAAGTTTCATGTGCTGATGGAAATTAAGGAATGCAGCAGCAAGGACTAATTCTGACCTCTTAAGCTATACTACCAACTTACAAAGTAGGTTGTTTTTGTTTGGTTGTTTGGTTGTGGGTTTTTTGCTGTGTGCATGTATATGTGTGTGTGAATAATTTCTCTATGGATTTTTTGATGTCTGAAGCCACACAGCAAGATAAAATCAGGAAAGCAGGATCTGTATAGAAAAAAAATCCCATCTTCCTTATCTTAGCCAAAACTCTTCTTTGATGAAGATATTTCTGTTCCCTAACTGGCTTCTCTTAATAAGTATGCAGGTTCTGGCCCAAGCTGGGCAAAATGAGATTCCACTCTTGGAATGTTCTCTTGGAAAATGGGTAGACGGCTCAAAAAACAAACAAAAAAAACCCAAAACAAAACAAAACACACACACGTGCGCGCACACGCACGTGCACACACACACACACACCCTGCTGTTGGCAGTGGATTGATCAGATTTGTGAAGAACTTAAGTGGTCTTGCAAAGATTTTGCTGATATCTATTGACAAGACTTACCTGGC